CCACTTGAGTTTGATAATCTATTAAAGTTAGTTAGTAGTAATAAAGATTAACGATTTGCTATTTTTCTGAATTAACTCTTTTTTCCTCCTCACAGGTATAAGAACAATCAAATTCAAAACAGGCAGAGTAAAGCAATAATTGTCACAGATCGGCCAGGCTCAACCACCTCACAATCACAGCGAACACCATCACCTGAGTTCTAATCACACGCACCTGTCACGGATCAACAATCACTCTCAGCTCCCATTCATAAGCACACACCTCACATCACTCCAGTGTCCGATCTCGTTCCAGCAAAGTAGGCTCTCTCGCTGATATCCGTAAGAGTCATTGAAAAACTTACCTACCAAGTTATACTTTCCTCCAGTGTTCGTTCCAGTCCCTTGCTCCGTGGATACCCCGTCCCTCGTCGTCTGAGGTGTGTGCTATCCACTGTCTTCCTTCCACGATCTCCTGGGAATCCCCATACTAGAGTTATCTCTCCTCCTCATCTTCCCAAAGGACTTCCGAACTAGCATAATATTCACCTGCCCGTATCCTCTGCTTCACTTGCTGGAAATAAACATTGTTTCTCTCTAACCCTCTGTGTGAGTCTCCTTCCGTAACGATAATGTTACATCGTGACATTGGCATGAAAATTAAACAAAATACAATAAAAATGTGTATGGCACTGGCAGTTGAATTCAGTTCTGTTTAGTAATGTAATGCAGTTCAGTTCAAATGGTTGTGTAATCAACAATATATATATATAAAATAATTATATTCTGTTTATTTGAAATATTTTAAGTTTGAAATGTTAAACGGGAGTTCAAAGCAGTTTGTATTGTTAGACTATAATACATGTCCTTTCTCAATTTCCAGGGAGCGGAGCAACTTTTCCATAAACAAACTTTTGATGCTGACCCAGAGGATGTAGTGGTAGTACCAGAGATCCATTGCCCCCATCAGAAAAGATTCTCACTTTGTTCAGACACCTTACATTTGAATGACTGGGATCTTGATCTTCAGACACCTGATATTATGCAAATATTTTAATTTCTTTGGAGCTCTAGATTAATACAGTTCACAAGTACACAAGAGGTTGCACTTTATTCGTATTAGTCTATGCTGATCTTGGATTAGCATACCAACAGCATATGATTGTTAAGGGGATAGTTCACTCAAAAATAAAAATTCTCTCATCTTTTACTCACCCTCATGCTGTCCCAAATGCATATTACTTTCTTTTCGACTGGACAGGTAAACACAAATTAAGATTTTTAGGCAAATAATCCATCTCTGTGAGTCCTAAAGATGCTTTAAAAACCACTCACAGCTACCGTGACAGTAATCCATCTGACCTTAATGGTTGAATCAGTATCTTTTGAAGTGAAACAACAGATAAGAAAAACACTAATAATTTAAACATTTGTCTATTAACAATCACCTCCGATCAACTGTCATATGTGCATGGGTTACAATTCACTTGTGTTATGTGGATTCTAAGAGATGGATTATTTTCTTAAAAATCTTTGTGTTTATGTCAAGAAAGAAAGTCATTTACATCTGGAATGTCATGAAGGTGAGTAAATTAGAAAATTTTCATTTTTTGGGGTGGAATATTCCTCTAAAGACCGATATTGCACGCCATTACATAACATACACATTCACTGTTTTGTAACTTATACTGTAACAGGAAGTGTTGAAAGGATCATTGCAGTTTAAAACATATTATGAGAAATTATTATTTCAAGACATGTAAAGCATTTTTGCTCGTTTATGTGGGCCGTCCCAAGCATGGTTGCAATGTGTCCATTGTCAAACTCCAAAATCAGATTATTTTTAATTCTTAAAAAATGCCATTATTTTATTAGAAAAAAATAATTATTTTATTAACAAAATATTTTAGTTTGTTTTGTATGTTTTTTTTCATTCGATCAGATAACATTTTAAGATGTCACATGGTCATGTTACAACGTGCCCCTCAGATGTTACAATGTACCACACCTACGGGGCATGTTGTCACATTTCACTTCCATTTTTTTAGGGTAAATAAAGAAAAACGTATACACTGCAATTATGAAACAAAGCGAGATATTTGTACTAGACAAGTGTAAAATTACTGTGGATAAAAAATATATATATTCTGAGCCCCATGTGGATTTACACAAACTGAGAAAGTCAAAAAGTGTTACTTCAAACATTGTCCATTTAACTCAACTGTCACTTTGAGCTTAATATTTTATACAATAACATTCAACTATTCACACAGTGCACAATAAATACTCACATCAAAACAAATACTTCAAATCAAAATATGACCTTCTGTTATGAAACAAGACATCGATGTCCACTGAAGAGGACACCAGGACTTAAAGCATGTTTATTACACATTTTGGGAGACACAACAAATTAATAGAGAAAAAATTATATATCAATATTCCTATGAAATATTAGATATTATGAAAATCTTGCTAATTATTACTCCCATTATTGCACTTATTTGTTCATTCTATGTTGCCCCAAAAAACACATTAATATGCAAATTAGATACAGTTTATTGTATATAATGGGAAAAGGCTCTTATGGTCATTTTACACCCAAATTGCATAAAGAAAATGTTTTTTTAAAATATGTGATTAAAATTGTGATTAAAACAAAAATCCCTCTATTTTTGCCTTTTCATGTCTATTCATGTCTTTAAAAAAAAACAAAAAAACAGGACTTTAAAGTCCAGATGTCCTCTACAGAGGACATGGCATAATATATTAATAAAATATAATTTTTTCTTATGCTCTAAACAATGTAATGACACGACAAAATACTAAATTCACAAAACTGTTTTTTCTTGGTCAGGAGGCTATTTAAACTGAACTGAGCTGGATGATGACATTACTGAATTCAATGATGAACTGCCTTTAACTGAAAAGTGAGTGTTTACTATTGTCCTTTTGCATTGACACACTATTTTCCTATTTTGATGCTGTAAAGCTGCTTCGTTATATAAATAAAGGTGACTTGACTTGACTTGACTTGACTTGACTTGACTAGACAGACAGACTGACAGATAGATAGATAGATAGATAGACAGATAGATAGACAGACAGATAGATAGACAGACAGATAGACAGACAGACAGACAGACAGATAGATAGACAGACAGACAGACAGACAGACAGATAGACAGACAGACAGACAGACAGATAGATAGACAGACAGACAGACAGACAGACAGATAGACAGACAGACAGACAGACAGATAGATAGACAGACAGACAGACAGACAGACAGATAGACAGACAGACAGACAGACAGATAGATAGACAGACAGACAGACAGACAGACAGATAGACAGACAGACTAGATAGACAGACAGACAGATAGATAGACAGACAGACTAGACAGATAGATAGACAGACTAGATAGGCAGGCAGGCAGACAGACAGACAGACAGATAGATAGACAGACAGACAGACAGACAAAAACACAGACTAGATAAGAAAGACAGACAGACAGACAGATAGATAGACAGACAGACAGACAGACAGACAGATAGATAGACAGACTAGATAGACAGACAGATAGATAGATGGACAGACTAGATAGACAGATAGATAGATGGATGGACAGACTAGATAGACAGACTAGATAGGCAGACAGACAGACAGATAGATGGACAGACTAGATAGACAGACAGATAGATAGACAGACTAGATAGGCAGGCAGACAGACAGACAGACAGACAGATAGATAGATAGATAGACAGACTAGATAGACAGACAGATAGATAGACAGACTAGATAGACAGACAGATAGATAGTGTAGCGAATCAGCTCATGGGGAAATATGAATAATTCATCATAAAAATTTAGCGTATTGTCAAATTGAAAATGAGCTCAGTGATCATGTCTGTGTATAATGTCGCTTCTTGAGCTGTTAAACTGGCAAGAAAGGTATGTTGTCAATATGAGGAATGAACAGTGTTCAACAGTTCAGCAGGCCTGTAACTTAGTCTATCAGCTTCTCATTAAACGTGTCTGTGATAACGAATCAGATATGTAAGTCTGTGATAAATAACAGTGGGGCTAAATGACTTTTTGACCGAAATATCAAACGTTAGCTCATTTGTAACATCTGTTGACGTGGTCACATTGTGTTAGCCTTGAATTCACTGCTGGCATAATTCATGTTTAGAAATACTGCAATAAGTTATCATGAAAATAACAACCATTCAGATCAATTCAAACGTTTTTGTCTTATTTTTGTCTAATTTGGTCAAGTTACAACTAGTATTTGTATTCATGCAAATTGACTTTTCTGTCAGATCAGATCAGTTGAAACTGGACGAATTGTTTCAAAGCTTTTCTGTAAATTTAATTTTATTTTCCCAAGAATTGAGAGCATCAGAAAGAAAGAAACCACACAGGTTTTCATTCAGAAAATAAGAGTAGATGGATAGAAGCTGCATTTTGTGAGTCATACTTTCATTTATTATCTGATAGATTTTGTACAGTTGGAAATGTTTTATGGAAAGGTTGATATTAATTCTATACAAAGTCTTTGCTCATTGTTTTGTAATGGGTGCTAGCTTGTCTCATTGAGCGTTGCTTTGCAGTATTTTGTAGCAGCTGTCTTTTCATAAATGCAGTCAGTGAATGCATCCTGAAGACCGTGTAATTTTAATATCTTGCTAAACAGACCACAAAACTCTTCATCCCATCGATTTCTTGATTTCTCAGAAAAAGCACACGTCAGAACAGCACGCGAATGAAATGTTTAACCGGCAAGGCTTTAAAGCACATGCAAATAATGCAGTTCTTGCATATTGCATACTGTACTCTTTGTCGATTTTGTTTGTCCCATCAATCGTAAAAAAGCAGAGGTGAGTCCAGACTTTGGACCTAAACGTGGCTGGGGGCATCTGTTATTTTACTCCCACTTCTGACCTCCATCCCGTTAAAAACCTCTTTGCATTTTTGAAATGGCTCCTTAAGATTATTGTTGAATAACTCTTCTCCAGGTGCTGTTGGCAGCAGCAGTCTGCACCAAGGCGGGTAAAGCCCTGGTGTCACGGCAGTTTGTGGAGATGACACGGACAAGAGTGGAGGGTCTGCTGGCTGCTTTCCCCAAACTGATGAACACCGGCAAACAGCACACGTTTGTGGAGACTGAGAGTGTGCGCTACGTCTACCAGCCTCTGGAGAAGCTCTACATGGTGCTGGTCACCACCAAGAACAGTAACATACTGGAGGACCTGGAGACACTGCGTCTCTTCTCACGCGTGGTATGATAGTAACAGCATGCACGATGGAATAAAATACTTTTTATGGATAACTTAATTATGTCTTCTTGATATATCTCAGTGTTCATGTTTCTTTGTGAGAAATTCATTGTAAAATGAATGTTTCAGGCATTATAGGAGCACGGTGCCTGTATATTTTACATCTTATAACTGTATATAGCAAGGGTAGGGTTGGGAATCTAAAATCGATTCCGATTCCAGAATCGGATACTTAAGGTCAGGAATCGGGTACTTGTTGTCAAATTTAAATTTCGATTCCGCCCATCGATTCCTATGCACTTTTTTTTTCTTCATCTGAGGACCAAACCTAGCGAATGCGATCTGCCAGGACCTTGCTCGCTAACCTAAGCGCTCCAAAGTTTGGCTACATTTGCGGTCAGAAGCCATAAAAGCTAAGTATAATATCTGTGATAGCTAAACATGTTGCAAGAGAGGTGTCACCACCAACATGACAAAGCACTTTAATTTAATAGATCGTTAAAGATTGCGATTCAAACACCAATGTGATTCTATTCCTAAATTACAATGATTCGTCTGTTTCATTCCTCAAACTTTGACCTGTGCAATCAATGTTGTGATCACTTGGTTCGTCCGTGCAGAGTACGATCACATCAGTGTGATTTGAACATTTAAATCTGCGTTCGCGCTGCCGCTGACCTAAAGAGAGCAGCTGTCTGTCATGAATGAAACCGCTTCACAGTCTCTTCAGCCACACAGTATCATTATTTCTGTCTTACAAACATTCAAATCACAGAAGTACTGGGATAAAAGTTTATAGTTCAGATATAAACTGTGTGCGCGATGTGTACGGTAGCAGTTAAAATAGAGTAAATCACCTTTTGAAAGTAATTTGACACTTCCAAATTAAGATTTATCGATTACATTGTTATGCCAGTAGGTGGCGAAAAGGGGCTGTTAAAATGTATTTGTCTTTGAATCATACAAGAGATTCATTCAAGAACGCTGATTCATCCAGTAATGAAACAAGTACATCTTGAGTGAGTAAGTTATCATTAATTCATGAATTACATGCCTGTTGTATCCTGTTGTTTTTTTATTCATGGTATTCAGCTCCAATAAATGGTTTGCAAAAAAGAGAGACAGAATAAATGTTTGATATCATTATTTAATCACATTAAAATCGAAACTGGGAATCGAAAAGAATCGGAATCGATAAGCGGAATCGGAATTGATCAAATTCAAACGATACCCAACCCTAAGCAAGGGTCTTCAACCAGAGGTACGCCAATTAATGTTTAATCTCAAATAATTACTAAATAAATAAAACGGGTAAAAAAAACATCACAGAGTCAAATTTAAATACAAGCACCCTGAAACCAAAGCAAAAGCACACTCAGTTGATACTGTAATTATATAATATTATTGGTGAAACTGATTTAGCAAATGCTCCATTGGGTTTTTGAGTTTGAGCTATGGAGAACGTGAAATGTTCCTCTTTACAGTGTGTTTTTGCAGCGGTGAGAAATTAAGCCAATCACAGACATGTTTGCTGATCTCTTGAATGCAATGGGCAATCAGAGGTGTTTAAGTTTGAGTCCACTCACCACTCTTTTCGGTGCAGAGTTATATGCTCACTCTTTTGCGAATAATCTCTCATTAACAAACAATGACACAATGTGTGTTAGAGATTTATTATGCAGTGTAGACAACTTTATTTATTTTAATGAAATGTTGTGAGATTGCAAACTGGGTTGAGTGACAGCTTTTTAGTGATTGTAAAGTGAGCAGTATGTCACACTTTCCAGGCAATATAGCTATAATACGTCAAATAAAAGTGTTGTTTTTCATGCTGGTAAGAGGACCGATGGCCAATTACACGTTGAAAAGTTTTGGAAGTGACATCTACACACATATTTATATTTATTACGTGTATTTATATATACGTGATTCACTCTGAAGGTGCAATTGACACAAATATGGCATGTCAAAATATATATGCAATTTAAATGCAGACTAATAGATTACTAGAAAAATATTTGTATAAACATTTTTAAATTCCATTCCAATTATTTGTGAAAGTAATGCCTTGTAAATAATCTTATGTCTCACTGTACATTGCTATTCTTGTTATGGTGGAGCCTTTGCTTACACATTACATCTGCACTTTATAAAAAAAAAAACACTAATTTCAGATGCTCAATTATTTGATTCTTAATTGTCTATCTCACAGAAAATTAAAATGTTAAGTCTTAGTAAACTTGAAGCTAAAGTTCAAGTAATGTTTATTTATTCATCTGACAGTAAAATTTAAAATGTGAATTTTTAATAAACTTGTAGCTAAAGTTCAGGTAAATGTCCAGCTGACTAGTACAATTAAAATGTATGACACTGCAAATCCATTAAAATAATTTACAACAACTGCAAACAACTAATGAATTGTGATTTTTATCTCAACATGTTGTTTATGATGCGTAAATCTCAATTTTAACAAAAACTAATATACAGGCATTGATGCATGTGCAACAACAATAATGGGCATAGTTCTGATCTACAGTCTTAACATAATATACATAAAACATAATTTATTCTTAATCATAATTTGGTTACTTTCTATTAATATCGAAGGATATATACTTAATATTTAGCTTTGCTTGACACATTTTGTATCAGGGAATCCTTGCTTCATGTCTCTATCGCCAAAGGGGTCCTTGCCCTGTCAATTTTTTAAATTATTATTTGTTTGTATAACAGAAACTTGTACGTGTTTATCGTGGGTTGTTCTGTTAATATCAGAGTTCTGAAAGGAAGCTGACTGGTGTGTTCATTTTTCTTTTATTTTGGTAGATTCCTGAATATTGTCGTGTCCTGGAGGAGAGTGAAATTTCTGAGCACTGCTTTGACCTCATCTTCGCCTTCGATGAGATTGTTGCCCTCGGTTATAGAGAGAATGTTAACTTGGCCCAGATCCGGACATTTACAGAGATGGACTCTCATGAGGAAAAGGTGTTCCGTGCTGTCAGAGAGGTAGGAATAGCAATGCACACTGCATTGACTGTTATTGTGCACTCAGTGGCTAAAAGTATGCTGGCATCTTTTCTAATGAACAAATCTGGCAATTCCCCAAGAGTCTACAGTATATAATGACATTCTAGAAAATTCTCCAGTCTGCTATAGACTTGTTTAGCTCAGGTGCATGCACTGATGCAAAGGAGGAGGATCAATAAGGTCCTAGTGAGTGAAACAAAGTGCTGTGTGTGGACTAGGGATGCACGATATTATCGGAATGTTATCGGAAATGGCCGATAATGGTTTAAAATATAAATATCGGCATTGGCCGTGATATGAAAAATTATGCCGATATGCCTTGTTGATAAGATGAATAACTCGCATGTGCCTAGGGTGCTCAGATGTCAGCAGAGTGGTCATTCTTGAATCTAACTTTTTCCTGAATGATGATAAGATTCACTGTTTTTTTTTTGCCACATTTAATCTGAGAATGCAAGTTCAGAATGATGCATCCTTCGTGCAATAGAGTCAACAGTCTCTAGTCACACGTATTATTAAAACTTAAATACAAGGTGCTCTAAAAGATTTTCAGAATTTTTCCAACTCTTTTGCTTCAGACCATCTACAAATGTTGCGACAAATGCAGCAGTTAATTTCTAGTTAATTTACAGTTATTTTCAAAACTTTCTGTGCACTCTCATTATAAAAGAAATTTGTTGTTTATTTATTTCTAACAAGTAAGTTTTTGTTAAAAATGTCCTAAATTAAAAATAATTTGTTTATAATCTCTGCACAGGAGAGACAGGAGGTGTTGAACAGAATTAAATATATTGGTATCAGCAATTGGCCAAAATTAGTTGAAAAATATCGGCATATTGGATATCGACAAAAATCCAATATTGTGCATCCCTATTGTGGACTTCATAATTAAACATCCCTGATACCTGCCATGTGTTTGGAGTTTATAAATAACATGCTGGCAATGGTTCTCAGAGGACACTTGATAAATGATTTAATTGCAATATAATTTACTGTCGATCATCTTTTCTTCACTCTAAACCACTCAATTAATCGTTCATCAGACTCAAGAGCGCGAGGCTAAGGCAGAGATGAGACGGAAGGCTAAAGAGCTTCAGCAGGTACGGCGTGATGCCGAGCGTGGAAAGAAGGGGCCGGGCTTTGGTGGTTTTGGCAGCTCGGGCATGAGCAGCAGCAACACAGCCATCACAGACACACTAATCGAGGTCGAGAAACCCAAACCCACACCTGCACCTGTCAGGTACTGCCATACTCTTAATAGACTACAGCAATCCTTTATCTGTATAAAAACAACAGCAGGCTGCAATTTAATGCCCTTTTGTTTTAGGTCCAGTGGTCCAAGTAAAGCACTTAAACTGGTTGGCAAAGGTAAGGAGGTGGATGAATTTGTGGACAAACTAAAGTCAGAGGGAGAGAATATCATCTTGTCCAGCACAGGCAAAAGACCATCAGAGGCATCCAAATCTCTGCCGCCTCCAACCCACACAGAGAGGTAATGATGTGTCAATGTTTGAAATGCAGAAATCATATTGAGTATAGGTATTAGTGGAGTCTGTGATCTTATTCAATTAAAATATTTTGCAGTGCTGTTCATTAATGCGATAAAAGTCAATTTTTGTGTTTGTAAATATTATGTCTCTTTGCGAGGTTTGCAAATATAAGTTAGACATGGATTTAAAATCTTTACTACTTAAGTTTCAGAGTATGACCTCACACATCTCACTTAGCATGTAAGCCGTACATATTCTTTTCAGTGCCCATGTTAACAGTTGCAGCATTCATGCTTTACGCGTGAGCAGCATGTCAGGTAGAGTTTCAGCGCTGAGCCTATTTTTGCTGCATCTTGAACGCTGAACTCAGCAGAACATATGGTGGAACTGCACTTATTCATCAACACAGTGAAGACACATTATCACCACTTTCTAAGTTTTAACTAAATGGGGATTTAAACAGCAGTTCCCTCCTCTTGTAAATTAGATTGCAAGTTTAACAATCAAATAGTTCTCAATGAACCACTCTTGATCTTTTCCCTTTATTATAGGGCATTGTCAGTGCAATAACCCAGAAATCACTCAATTTTAGATCCACAATTTTACAACACTTAGGTAAATCTTTCACCAATTTTAATTTTCAGTGTGCATATGCGAGTTGAGGAAAAGATCACTCTCACGTGTGGCCGTGACGGTGGCCTTCAGAACATGGAAGTGCTTGGCATGATTACCCTCAGAGTGTCTGATGAAAAGAATGGGCGAATTAGACTGAAATTCAGCAATAATGACAAGAGAGGCGTGCAGTTGCAGGTAAGGTGTTTTTTAATAAACCTTTAGAAAATGTGTTCTATGTTTGTAACGCACTTCTAACGACTTCCTTGTAGACCCATCCAAATGTGGACAAAAAACTTTTCACAGCAGAGTCTGTGATTGGTCTGAAAAACCCAGACAAATCCTTCCCCCTGAAAAGTGACGTGGGTGTGCTGAAGTGGAGGCTACAGACGACAGATGAATCTTTCATTCCACTAACAAGTCAGTCCTAAACATGTGGTTTAGTATTACCAATAAAGTTAACAGCTTACATCTCCCCAGTAGTGTCACATGACTTGCGCTCATTTAATTTCTGTTTGTGTAGTAAACTGTTGGCCCTCTGAGAGTGGTACTGGCTGTGATGTAAACATTGAGTATGAGCTACAGGATGAATGTCTGGAACTCAATGATGTAGTCATCTCTATCCCTGTACCGTGAGTTCATTTGATTTAGTTCAGGCCCTAATTCATACACATTATACACCTTTACTGGCATAATAAAACCTTGTTTCCTTGTGTATAATGAAGCATTTTGGAATCGTTTGGCTTGTTATTTACATTTGTCTATTGTAACAATTTCATCACAGGTCAGGGGTGGGAGCTCCTGTGATTGGTGATCTAGATGGAGAATATCGCCATGACAGCAGACGGAATGTCCTGGAGTGGTGTCTGCCTGTGATTGATGTGAAAAATAAGACTGGTAGCCTGGAATTCAGCATACCTGGCCAGCCCAATGATTTTTTCCCTGTCAATGTCTCCTTTGTCTCCAAGGGCAGCTACTGTGACATTCAGGTAAGAAAAGAGGTTAATTATAGATTAGGGCAGGGTTTCCCAAACTGGGGTTTTTGAAGGAACTGCAGGGAGTTCAGGAGTTTATGAGAAGCTAATAATTATTTAAATAAAAAAAATTAAAATAATAATCAAACAAAAAAACACTGCATGCATGTTCATTGACTGACATCAGAGAACCTTGAACATGTGAATGTATTGTTAACTAATTGAAATATTACCTTTAAATCCTAGGGGGGTACTTCAAGTAAATATTTGATGTCAAAAAAGTTTGTGAATCCCTGGGTTAAAGACACAATATGTAATTTTCGCTGCTAGAGGGCGCGTATTCAAAATAAACAGAGACAAAGGCGTAGTTTGATGACGCTGTGACTGAGTGTGGAATCATGTGAGTTATCGTCTTCATCCCCACAGCCGATGCAATCTGACAGGACTCGGGCAGAAATCATGTTCATGGATGAGCTAATGATTTATTAACGTAGTAGAATGAAGCAGGGTGAGGCTAAAAGCCGTCGAAGCGAAACGAGGCCACTGAACGAGCGCGACACACGGCTCGAAAGCAGCAGAGCTTTTATTATGCCACAGTCGACCGCTTCCACTCCTTCCGGTCGTGCGTATGCGGGGGAAAAAAGCAGCGCTGTTTTATCATACTAGATACATTTGAATATATATATTATAATGCTACTCTGTGCGGTCGTCACCGGTCTATCAAATGCACAACATATTAAAGCGTCTTTGGTGTTTCCATGTTTTCTACAAAACAAAACTAGAAATCGAGGATGTATGACGTCATTGGCAGGCGACACAATGACACTATAGACACGGTCTGCATCACTAGTTAAAATTGCTTATTTCTCTGGATTTAAACATTCTTCGAAACATTTGGGATAATGTAAGTACACAAGTCAGCAAAATATATAACACTGTTCTAGTGGTTTTTGGATATTTTAATAAAAAAATCTTACATATTGTGCCTTTAAGGTATTGTTCGATACAGAGTACTGATGTTAGTTAATAGATTAGATTAATTATCATAAATCACAGTTCAAAAGCAAACATTGAAATTCTCTCATCTTTTCCTCTTTTCTCTGTTCATGTTCTCTCCTGCCAGGTCATTAAGGTGTCTCAGGTGGATGGGGACAGCCCGGTTCGGTTCTCCACAGAAACGTCATTTGTGGTCGACAAGTACGAAATACTGTGAAAGGAAACATCACTAACAAAATTCCACCCCACTTGACAGAGGAGCAGATAAATGGACTGAAAACATTCATATAAATAAAAGAAGGGAGAGACATACAAATGGAGGGACGATGCAATCTTTATCATCTTCAGCAGTACTTTTAACAGGATTATTCTTGTTCTCAGTTTCATCTTTGCTGGCAATATTGGCTCTACTTGTACCCAATATGGTTCACAAAGCAACCAGTCAGCAAGGGTTGGGGCTAAATGGAGACTGCATTGAAAGGAGGGAGTGGGCTGGTGGAAATTTATTCATTTGAAGCAATCATGGCAGTATATTTTTGAATTGATGATTCATACCTCCACTGTAAGGGTCAAGTCATGTTGCTTGTCTTTTCTCTCAGTTTGTGGTTTTCTAAAGATTTATTTTCAATGTGCTGCAAACTGACTTTTTTTTTTAAACACTAGAAGATCGTTGTACCTTGCTTGTAAAGGCCCTTTCGTCCATTTCATAGTCATTGTTTTGTCTCTTTCTTTGTCATTCAGACTCTTTGTTTTGTCTAAAATATATATTTTATCTCCTGTTTCTGTCTGCTGTTAAACATCTGACATGTTTAAGATGTCTGTGCTTGGATCTTTGTCTAACTCTTGACTGGCTCTCTGTTCTCCTGTTTTACATTGTTTTGGTGTAGTATTGCCAACCTTTAAGGAAATGGAGCCTGTAGTACATTTTCAGAAGTTTGTTTTTAGTGTATCATGGACATTTGAGGGCAATTTGAAAAACTAATTCAAATTAAATAATTTAAAGCCATTAACTTGTATTAAAGATAATTGTTTTCATTCAAGATGACAACATTGCAGTCAGAAAAATGTATTGCTTTAAAAATGAGAGCTCAGTCTGCTTTAAATCATGTTTTCTATCGAAAGCAAAAACTTCAGGCTTGGACTTTCATACTACTAGAAGGCAACCTGCTCCCCATCTGAAATGTGTTGTTTGTAGATAGAGCCCTTCAGTGGAGGATCAGGATCATGTCTGTCTCTTGACTGTCCGTGATTGTGAGTAGGTTTTCAGGGAGGGACTTCTGGTCTCCTATCAGCATTATGAGTGGTTCCCAGCCTGCCGAGCCATCCTCCCAAACTTTAGTCTCAACCCCACATGGCCCCCGCTAAAGAAAAGAGGTCTCCCTTGCTGTCTTGGTTTCCAGTAATGGCTTGAATGTCTCTGCACATTTTGATGAGGGGAAGGGCGTATAAAATGTTTTTGTTTATCTTTTTTCATTGTTTTTCTTTTTCTTTTCGGTTTTCATGGAATCATAATGAGGATTGGGGAATGGTATAAAGACATCAGAGATTTTTTTGTAATCTTGTAAAATAACGAATTAGGGATTCATGATGAAGAACATTCCAGTGTAAACTTATTTTAAAAAATCATTAAAGTGTTTAAAAAGGAAAGGATCTTTTGTTATCTGTTCTTTTCTCCAGTAAATGTGTCTTGTTTGAATGGTTATCACCATGAAACCAGTGGTTAGTTGAAAATCATAAATGTTGTGGAATATGTTTGTTCACCTGATTGTCAGTCCACCCCTATTTCAATGAAGCCCATATGACAGTACTACTGTCTTCACCCAGTCACACGTACTAGTCAGTATTTCAATTACCACACTGAATGATTCATGTTTTTTCTGAGGTTTTTGTTTTGTTTTCCCCACCTTAAAACCAGGGGTGGAGAGTTTTTTTTTTTTTTTTTTTTTTTTACTTCTCTTCAGTAAACAGATTTACTGGCTGTGCTCTTTTCGTATCCGTCTGAATGCAAGAGTTAGAAGGACTGAAAGTGGACTGATGGCCTGTATATGATCAAGCGATAAGGAATAAGGAGAGTTATTTTTTCATCCCTCATTTTTTGGGATTAAATACTATACAGTTTTGTATTTATTTTTTTTTCTTTTCTTTTTTAAAGAACCATGGAGCAAGAGAAAACATTTACCAATGTTAGTTTGAGAGACAATATGCATAAAATAGTCTTAGCAGTTAAAGTGACTTGTTCTGATGGAAACCCTTTCTACCTCCTCCACCAAATCCAGCTGAGTTTCTGAAGGAGCTACAGAGCTATTCATCTTGTTCAGTCTGTACTGATCCCACTCCTTAGGACCATTTCCAAGAATTTTCCTGTTATTTACAAACCAAGGACCACAATGGCCCCTAAAAGGGTTCGCTTTCAAGTAAGTTTCCTTTTGCACCTTTTGATATTTAATTGAGGGAAATTCGTTACAAATATTATGTATGTTGGCATATAAATGTAAATTTTGCTGAAAATATATATATATGAAAAGACTAGTAAGTTACAGGTTGGCATTGAGACAACTTACTCCATAATGTGTTCAAATGCATGTTCAATTAAATATTTTCTAATCACTGGAGAAAACAAGCCACGTTGTCCTATTACCAGAGCTTGGCTAGAAGTTTCAAGGCTAACGGCTGAAAACGAATACTGTATTTAGATTTACATGAAAGAGATTTGCACGACCACCAGAGGTCATCCTTTGCCTCATTTCATTTTCTCTTCTCTGCGTGATGGTTTGTGTCTTGTGAAGGGAAACCACCTGGACTGACACCGTGCGTCCTTTGAAAGTAAAATGTTTTGCTGCGATGATTTCTATCCTATTTACTTTATCTCAGGCCATATGATTTAGTGTTTGATTTGATTTAATGTCTATGAATTTGGTTATGGAGTTCAGATAAATAAGAGGGGAGAAAGAAAGATGAAAATAAACGAGGCAAATGGGCTTTTAACCACAGAATTACATACAGTGGCTGTTCTAGACAAATACTGATAACTCAGACAACATGGATCATAACTAATAGAAAATAAGCGATATTTTAGCGATATTTAAACTTGAATGGGCAAATGTTTGAGAACCCCCAATGAATATTCCTACCCTGCCTTCATACACTTGCCTGTAGTATTTTCAAGTTATCCCAGTGACCCTGATAGGCTACTTCAGGCAGCAGCCTTGTATTTACAGTTGTTTCATGACTTGTCTAATCACATCACATCCCATCCCATCCCACTCAATATTTTTTAGACAGATTTGTCAGCTGGCATTTTGAATTAACAAGCCGTTCTTTGCAACTTCACAGACTTGTAAAGTTACCCTCTTACATTCAGTGTCCTTTCCAGACATGCGTTGGTGGAATGTCTCATGGGTTGGGTTGGGTTAGATTAGGTTGAGGGGGAGCCACTGTTGCGTATATGTGTGTATTTGGGGTGTTTAACATTTGGACACTAAAATAAGACATTATTCAGAGTATTAAAACAGCCATTTCTCTGTTTTAAAAGAGGAAATGTAATCTCACAATATCCACAACCCTTCCAGTATCTATTCTTAGAGTATTTGCATTTGTGTTGTCTCTTCTGTTTGTTGTCATAAGACATTTTAAAGAGGTCAATTAACGTATTTAGAGGGCAGCTTTATTGGCTTATTGTAATTGAATTTAATTTCACATTTTGCCTATCTGGCTTGGCCAGAGTTCAACTATGCTGTGGGAATTAGATTTCTTTATACAGATAATTAAATGCACCAGGGACATCTCTCTCTCATCTGTCTCCTGATCTGGGCCCGGGTGTCTCGTTCCAGAGGCTGAACAAGTGAGGAGCTCATCAGCTGGTAGAATAAAAGACTGCCTTGTGGCAGTGTGTGAAGTGTGTGAGAGACTATGAGGGCTGGAAAAAGAGAAAGGGGTGGAGAGAGAGAGAGAACATGTAGGTGGGGGAATAGTGCAGGACAGAGAGGGCGAGGGAAGATATTTCTAGTTCTGAATGTGATTTGTCCATCCTGCTCTGGTGCTCAACAGAGTTTAAGGTGTATGAAAGTGAGCATGAGTTAGAAAGACACCTGTTTCCAGCTCTCAGGATTACACATGGGACTGGCAGAGCCACAGTTGGATCTGAACTCATAGGTAAGGCTTTTATTGACAGCTGGGTTTGTGTGATTAAGTTTTCTGAATACATTTAGAGTGATGCTACACTCTCAGAAAAAATGGTAAAACACTTGGTAATATCATGTACTATTTAGGTACTAATATGTACTTTATATGTACCTTTAAGGTACTAAAATGCACCCTTTAGGGGTAAAAAGGCTACACAGATTCAGAGTTGGATTTTTGGACCTTTTAAAGTATTTTCAATTTGTAAAATTGTAATTGTATTTATTCAAAGCACCAATTAATTTTTTTTAAAATATATAAATTGTACCACATGTTTGTGTCTGTCAACCCATTTAAAACATAAACATTTTTGCAGTCTTCATTAGAATCAGTTTATGAATCACTGAAAAAGGAACTGAGAGGAACAGAGAGATTTCTGAAGAAAATGGAAACTTTAGTAAATGACTCTTGCCAAAACATAATGGGGATCCTGTCTTTAAAAAGTAACAGTGCAAATGTCACTATGGACACTATGACGTTATATTATGAGTTATGAATGATCTCATACATGAATGCATTTCTTTATTTTAGTTACAGTACGTGTGAGCAATGGAGAACTCTAGTCTTACTATGTTAAATATGATTGAGAATAAAAAATGGGCTGCACTGGACCAGCACGGAAATAATGGCCCTGACCTAAAGCATGGACAATGAAACTATTGTCCCAGCGGAGATAGCACTGTGCACACCAGTGTATGAGTAGCCCGACACATTTTTTGCACCAGCAATGCTACTTCCACTAAAAGAGGCCGACTAACAGGTGGTTTGAATAATTGTGAAACACATTCAATACTTCTTCTACACCTGTGTTATGTATGACATCTGCAATGCTGCAGTCATAGATTGAACATTTACATGATTCAGCTAAGGAATCATATGTGACATACTTTATAGGCTACAACAGTTAGTTGTGACATTCCAGACATGTCAGTCTGTGCATAATTTGCAGGGATTTTTCATGGACTCTTTCTTCAGGATACATAATTACATCAACAGATGGCCACGAGTAAGTGACTGTATCTGAATATGCATACTTACCTATACAGCAGGCAAAAACAGTACTTGAAAAATTATTAGTATGTCAGAATTCACAGTATTCATAAAACAGTAGGCAAAAAGTACCAAGATGACCAACTACTTTGTCGTGCACAAGACGCTTCAAAAGACGCCAGAGGAAAAATCGCATCTTTACATAGAAAAAAAAACAAAACAATGGAAAAGCAGCGCAGGGGAAAGCAAAAATGTGGCCTCTTACTGTCTTACATTTACTGTTGCAGTCGTGTTGTTGGTCTGAATTTCCAAATGACTCTGTACAGTCCAGGCATAGCAGAGCTGTCTGAGTAAATGCAAGCGTGAGAGATTAGGCCACACCGTGAACACGTGCACCGCCTTTCCCCTTGTTTAATGCATTGCTTTGCTGCAATGGTAAAAGATGTAGTGAGATAGTAAAAACATTAGTAAAAATGAGTTACTTAGAGAGTTGTTGAGAGTTTGATAATGTATGTTCATCTAGTCAATATTGCAGGAAGTGTATAAAAGTTAACTTGAACATCAAGAATGTTGGAAGGAGAAAAAGAAAGAGGGAGTGGATGAAAAGAACATCAAGGAGTAACAAAAAGATGGAACTGAACACCAGCACAGACTTAGTGAAACAGTGCCAAACAGGATTTAGTAACCATGATTGCTCAAGCTTTTCTTATAATGCCCACAACCTTCATTCAGTCAGTCTGGGTCTCACCAGCTCTAGACAGCACACAAACACACACTTCACTGACCGATTTATGTCGATAATTAAGTCTGGCTCTGTGAGACTTAACCAGCTTCAGGTTCAAGTATTCGTATCTTTTCAATCTTTTAACTCTCTCTATCTGCTTAAACCATAATTCTAGTCTTTTTTTCATGGAGTAATTTGTCCATTCGATCATCATATGAGTTCATATCTCCATCCCTTTAAAGGGGTGGTTCACTGGGTTTTTTCTAGGCTTGATTGTGTTTATGGTGTGCAGTCTAACATGTTAATGCTTAGTTAAAAAAAACGCATAATTTTCCCACTCATATATGAATAGATTTTTACGTGCACCTCTAGTTTTCTCTTCCTCTTCTCTAAAGCAGCGCAGCAAGGCATCGCCCCCTTTGCTGCCTTTTCCCGGGGGTGGGGTTTATCTGGGTTTGTGATGTCACGAAACCCGGGAAGTAACTCGTTGTAGTCCCTACCAGCCGTTTTTGTAGGCATTAAACTGCCAGAATTTTAAAAGACGATATCTCCGTTTGCATTGAACTTTCAGCTTCGTAACTTTGCAGATATTGTTTATGCTCAAACAGCAACATTACACTAACTAACCTTAAAAGAGTGAAATCGCAATGAACCACCCCTTTAAGGAAATACAAACACTGCATGACGGAATGCTATGCAGGACTGCAAATTTAATAGATTTAAAAAAATTTCAAACAATTTGCATTGGCGGTTTAAATTCTTAAACAGTGTTCATTCAAATATTAACAATTTGTTATCATGTCATGTGTATCGTGTCGTTCCAAACCATAATGATTGTCTTTGGTGTGAAACACTAAAGGATTTAGCAAAATTCAAGAATGGAATGAGATGGAATGAAATGAGCAGAAATACTGTAAATGATGATTAGAATTCAAATTTTTGGGTGAACTACACCTTTGTTGTTATTAAAATTGTGATGAAATTTTGTCCTTTTTCATTTTTTAATGGTGGTATGAGTGCAGGTGCAATGGAGAATGTTGATGGCACATTCTGTTCGGACATATTTGTGCGTGTGTGTGTGTGTGCAAGAAAGTGTGAAATATTTGACAGAAATGGGCAGGCTAAGACGTGCAGGGAAATGCCAGAATGTGAATATTTTAAGTCTAATGTCGCTAATGGAACAAAAAAGTGCATAATGCAAGAACGTTGTACTCCCTCTTGGACAGCTCTGAAGAAAAAAAATTTCATACTACTGTGCCAGTGAAACAAACCCAGTCGTTCTTCTTGTTTTCTCACAAACACACTCTCATACAAACAGTGTTCTGATCTCAAGCGTTTCTGCCACGCAAGCACTGTGACTGTTCTCTGGGGTGAAATCTGTGCCTTGTTGCTTTACTCTGATACTATAATAAGTGACTAGACTGTTGCAAAATGTTGCAAGAGATTAAAAGAATTGAAGAAAATGCTTAGCTTTGATATCACATCTGTTATTCCAAGATAGCAGTCCAGCATGTAAATATGGAAAGTTATGCAGCAGCTAACTTTCCAACTTGTGTGCTTGCCATGTGTTGACCATGGCAGCCTCACATGTGAGTCACTCTGGACTTTTAAACTAAATGCCTTACATATAAATGTTGAAAGTTATTTGGTGGAATAATCATTTCCTCACATAAAGTCATTGGAATTTTCACTCCCAGAGGACAACAAACACATAAATAACTTAAATATGGCTCTATAATAAAGCACTGGTGACTCAAAACATAGGACTACTTTAGATTATCAGGCCTATTGAAATTCTTTTTTTTTAATTGGCCGCTGGAGAATGTTTATTCCCAGAGAGTGGCTAGATCATAGGGTCAACCGACAGGAAGAGTCCCCACTTAGGATCCCACACCAGAAGAGTCTGCTCCTCTTCCAGCTGTGGTTGCCTAGTTGCTGTTCAGATTTGTTTGTGTTAGTTTTTTATGTGTTTGGACTCTTTTGACATCTGTCTTACTCACTAGCAATGGCCGTGGAAAAAGCCTTTCTTTCTCCTTCTCCGCCAGACAGATATTTTCCTCTCTAGGACTCTGATTCATGGCTTTCCCATGTTTTTTAAGGTTGTTACCAATCGGTCTGGCTCGGTGTATGATTGATTGCTTGGGTGTATGTTCACTAAGAGACAAAACATAAATGTTTGCTTAAAGGTGTCATATGATGCAATTTCAAGTTTTCCTTTCTCTTTGGAGTGTTACAAGCTCTTGGTGCATAAAGAAGATCTGTAAAGTTGTAAAGACTAAAATCTCAAATCCAAAGAGATATTCTTTATAAAAGTTAAGAGTCAGCCACGCCTACCTAAAACGGCTCGTTCTAACACGCCCCCACATATCTACGTCACTATGTGGAAATATTAGCATAATGCCGCCCAAATGTGCACGCAAAGAAAGAAGGCGTGGTTTCAGGAACAGCAGTAGTGTTGATGCAGCCATGTCAGGGAGACGCTGTGTGTTTCAGTGCAAAAGCAAAAGCACTTTATTTGGCCTTCCGGAAGTAGATGCAATTAGGAATCATTGATTAAGATTTATTTACAACAGAACAGCACAACCCAGATGTTCGAATTTGTGCAATGCATTTTATGAACCTAGAAGAGTACAAGGCTGGCTGTGCACAAAGGCTATTTCTAAAAAAAAATCCAAAAGGGTAAATTCCGACTTTGCTATGACAATATGGCACTTATGAATCAGCGACACCAGCTTCATCACTGTGTCTGTCACGCGACTCTGTTGCCCTTTCGGGCTTGAACTGATGGTAAAACTAACAACATTATTAACTGTCTTGATATTTACTTTGAAAGCTGAAGCTGCGATTATGATAAGGGGCGTTACATTTTCGACGCGTGCTTGTGGTGTTCGGCCAGTCACAATGCACTGGGTCAGCTGGCCAATCAGAGCAGACTGTGCTTGTCAAAGGAGGGGGCTTTTTAGAAAACGAACGTTTGAGAGAGGCGGGGCATAGAGGACCTACAATAATGTACAGTATTTGAAAAATAATGTGTTTTTTGAACATTAAAGCATGTCAACATATTCTGTTACACCAAATACACAAAATAATGATTTTTAAATAGTATCATATGACCCCTTTAAGAGTTCCAAGAGAACTTTATTGAATATTTTTTGTTCCCCGCATCTTGTTTCCATAAATTAATCTAATTATGTAACAAATACTCTTAAAGTGACTCACATCAGCAGTTTTGCAGCTGTTAAACATCAAATGGAAAACACCATTTTTGTTTTGAAGAACAGAAAGTGAGTAGGGGGACTCCATCTGGAATATCAAGGTCTTTTCCGTCCTCCACAACAGCGTGTAAACTCAAATCTGTTTTTCAAAATAAGTCCATCTGCTGCACTGATGGGGATCTGACCATTTTAATACTATTCCAGCAATTCCTTAACAATCATCTTCTAAGGCATGACAGTAACATCTTAATATATTTCTTAAAGGGATAGTTCACCCAAAAATGTAAATTCTGTCATCATTTATTCGCCCTTATGTCATTCCAAACCTGCATGACTTCTGTGGACAAAAGAAAAGAAGATATTTTGATGAATGTTGGGGACCAAACAGTTTTGGTTATTATTGACTTCCATTGCATGGACAAAAAAAAAAAAACTGAGACATTTCTCAAAAAATATCTTTTTTTATATCCCACAGAAGATGAAAGTTTGGAACGACATGATGATTAGAAAAAGATAATAGAATAAAAATTTTTGGATTAACTATCTCTTTAATAATTAAATTAATTGTAATAATATGTTTAGCATGTTTTTGAGCCGTAAGCTGAGCATACAAGTAGTAAACAGATGAGTCAAGTTTATAGACGATGAGTTGTGTGTGACGGTGTAGATATATGTCCCCCGTGATTTAGCTTTCTAAATTTAAACATAAACTTGATGATTTATTCATGGTTGCTTGGAAAGACGGACCGGACACTTGGATTCTGACAGACTTTTTTTCATGTGGATTCCTCTACTAGTGCTTTCTATCTCTCTCGCACTCTCTCTCCTCCCAGCTGTGGTGGTACTATGTAATTCTGTCCTCCAGAACTTCAGAGCATTGAGTAAGAGACATGAGTGAGCAGCAGAGACAAACAAACAGCGAGAGCTGGACTGTAGACAGTCAGCCAAAGGCTCAAAGGCGTAAACTCAGGACATAGCATTGAGATTGTGAGTAAACAAGGCCATGCAGCAACAGAGCAGATCTTTCTTGGGCTAAAAAAGATGGTGAGTGGGCTTGGTATTGCTTATGGGTTTTTAAGAGTTTGGTATTTGGTATTTCTAAACACTCTAAGAATTTTGGTTAATTTTAGTACTTCGTTGATTTGGGCAGCTATATAAGAGACTGAAGAAATGTATAATGCTGCACTAAATCAATGTATATTGCATAATATTTATCAGATTTATGCAGAGAACATGAGTGCTAAAATAACTCAAATTAATTTAAATATATTAGACATTCCATGGGATCAAAATACTTAGAATATACATTTTGAGTTTTATTTTTTGTATAAATTTTAATAAATAAATTACAATTTTATAGTTTAATATTAGAATATATTTAAATAGTCATTATTAGTATATATTTATGTATCCATTTTAAGCATAGATTTATTTTTATTTATTTACGTTTTTAATGTGCTGTTTGTTGTATATATTTAACTGCTGCCTGTCTTGGTTATGATTTTTTTCATAAAAGACATTTTAAATCTCAGTTTGATTTAACATTTTTGTGGTATTAATATGGGTAGAAAAGCCATCAGGCCTTCATGTTTCCAGTCTTTGGTTTCTATTTCCCAGATTCACCTACTGTCCGTGCTATATATAGCTGTACTGTTATATTAGCTTAGCTATGTTCCTGCTGTGGTTTCCTCACTTCTCCCTGTAACTCTTACATACTGCCATGTGTCTATGTGTGTGTGTGTGTGTGTGTGTGTGTGTATGTGTCTATATACGTGTACCCTGTATGATTATAACCCCTGTAAGAGGAGCTTTGTGGTTTGTGCTGGTTGAGTCTATTTTCTGCTGCAGAGGGCAGGACACAGTGGCATAACTGCAGACTTAATGACATGTTTCAGAGGCAAGCCACTTACCAGCATAAAAAACTCCAGATGAACTGCTATTAGGTGTATTTTTGTTTGTAAAGGTATTTGACTCAAGGCGTCAGTATCTGTCTGTGTACGCTTAATGTCAGTGACTCTGTATTGTCCAGGTGTGTGTGTGTGTGTGTGTGTGTGTGTGTGTGTGTGAGTGATGGTGAGAGCAGTGACCATATTCAGTATAGTGACAGAGGCTTTCTGTTCTCTCTTCCCTCTGTGTCATACACTTGACGTGATTGTGAAATGCGGATTGGAGCACTTGCCAGCTGCACTTGCAAACATGACATTAGAAATGAAAGGATAGAGAGGCTAGCTAGAGGAAGGAGCAAAAGAAGAGGAAGTTTAATTTTATACCAGCTGTTGAGTTAAAAACCGTAAATGTCCATCATCATCTTAATGAATATGCATTCACTGTACCAAACCTGTCTTCGCTTGTTTCGAGAAGCAAAGCGTCTCATTCCAGTCGTTTCCCTGACTGGACATGCCAGCAGAGGAAAGAGTTGAATTAATCTTACATAGCTTTGCCTTTCACACTCCTCTACAAATTCAGATGTCCTTTTAGATGCTCCTTATGGAAAGAGTTGATTCTTTGGACAACTGGCAGACTAAGGTAATCTGTTATATAATGTTATATTAGTTTCCATATTGGAATTAATATTAAATATTGGGTCTGTTTTTGATGTTTTGGTGTACTTTACTTTAAATGTTGAATGTAGCTATGTAGCTAGCTAAGCTATAGAACAGGGGTGTCCAGACTCGTTCCTGGAGGCCACTGTCCTACAGGTTTGCCTCAGCACACCTGCTGCCATGACGTTTCTAGTAGGCCTGGTAGTAAGACCTTGATTAACTGGTTCAGGTGTGTTTAATTGGGTTTGGAGCTAAACTCTGCAGGACAGTGTACCTCCAGGAGCAGGATTGGACACCCCTGCTATAGAAAAATGTGAAAAGACTGGTTGAAAAGAAGTGATCCAAAACAGATCAGATCAATTAGGAATACTGAGTTTGGGTGTTTACAATTAAAACAAGAGATTCTGATTCAGAAGATTCGTTTATTTTACATCAGAATCACTTGTTCTGATTATAGACAGCTGATACTGTCTTTATTGATAATAAATTGTCAAGAAAATGTTGCGTGGTGAAATGCTACAGTGTTAAATTTTTCTGGACAATAGGCTATTTCAGCAGTAAAGGTGTGTTTACATTAGTTTCTTTTAGCTGTTTAGAATCAGAACCAGGGCTGTCCTTAGCTGACGCTGGCCTGGTGCGAGGTAGGGAGCGTGGCCCCCCTCGGTCCATTCGCGATCGCGTTCCTTGGGCCGTTCGCCACGGGGACCCGGTGCGACCGCACCAGTTGCAGCCCCCTAAGGACGGCCCTGATCAGAACGGGTGATTTTGGAATAAATTACTCTTTTGAATCAGAATCACATGTTCTGATTGTAAACAGCCAAACTGCTTCACTGATTCTCAATGACCATTATATATAGATGGAAAATGTTTTTAACGTTTCGATGTTCTGCAAATTATGAATGTAGCTGAGTTGTGTAGCTAAGCTACAAACTATCTATAGCTATGCTAAGATGAAATTAGCTAAACTAAGCTAAAAGCTTTCGGTATAACTGACAACTTGTGATTTTGAATACTTAGACTGGTTAAAAAGAACCTATTCGAAGAAGTAGTTCTGAATCCCTTGGGATTTTTACAGTGTGTTCTGTTGGTTGTTTAGAATCAGAACGAATTATTCTGATTCAAAATAAAATGCTCTTTTGAATCTGTGTCAGTTGTTCTGATTGTAAACAGCTAAACTGCTAATTAATAAAATCACATTGCAAAGTTACATAATTTTAAGTTACAGTACCACCTCGAGAAATGTAGTTCAACAAAATGCTTTGCTACTTATAGTGACGTTACTGCCCTTCACTGACTCACAATGGCTGTTATGTACACAGATACATACACACATAGACCCTGATGCTCAGTTTGTCTTGCGGATCTGTTTCTGCTTGATTTCCAGTGTGGCTTTTCTGAGAGACAGTGGTATGTGATAGAGACGGAGGAGGGGTAAGGGAAGGAGGGAGAGGGGGATTTCAGGTTAAGGATGTTCCAAAATGACTGATCTGCTGTGATGTGTGTACTGACCTGAGGTCTACTCTGGTTTGTTCACACTAATGTGCCTGTGTCTGTACCATAGATAATTGGCTGCATCTGTTCACTGTGAGTCTGGTTGTGTGTGTGTGTGTGTGTTTGTGTGTGAGATGAGTCACACTGACTCATGCTGTGTATTTCAACTAAGATGCAGACGACAGTTGGTTAATCACAGAATGCATTTGTTAGTTCATTGCATCACTGTATTTAGTCTACAATAGGAAACATCTGATGTGTTTTATTGTTCACTGATAGGATCAAAGACACAAGCTTGAAATGTTGTAACTTTGCCAGCTCTACATGTTTATTCTAATAGTCTGTTTATGTTGTATAAATAAAACAAATATATGTTGTGATTATGACTCTTTATATGAAAGTTCACTCGCATTTTATGAGACTGAACCTAATCACCTCTTCGACTAAGAATTTTTGGTCATATTTGGACTTTTAAAAACATCTTGCTGTTTATCTTTCTGTAATTCCAGGATCTTAACGAATACCATGAAGTGACCAATAAATCCATAGACATGGACAGGCTGAATCAGAATGTTCCAGAACACGGCCGTCAGACTCATCAGGTCTTACAGGTGAGTGTGTGAGCACATTTTAACATTTTTCTCTCTCACACACACACACACACACACACACATATGTTGGCTTTCCATGTTTTATGGGAACATTCCATTGGTGTGATGGTTTTTATACCGTACAAACTGTATTTTCTATCCCCTTAACCTAACCCGACCCCTCACACAAAACTTTCTGCATTTTTAGATTTTCAAGAAACTTCAATCTGTATGATTTATGAGCTGTTCTCCTCATGGGGACCAAAAAATATTCCCACAGGGTCAGAATTTACTTGTATTACTATACTTGTGGGGACATTTGGTCCTCACAACGTAGGAAACAACAGGACCGCCCACACCCACCCACACATACCATTCAAAAGTTACGTTTGAACGTTAGTGTGTATAATAGATGCATACAGTGTGTTTTACTGTTGGTTTTCTGCTTATTCGTCATTAAAATCATAAAAACTGAATATAATATAAGGTGTTAAAATGTCTACATCAGCATCAACAAAGAATTCTGCAAAATTCCTAGGTTTTGTCACCTAAATGTGGAGTCTGCAGATCCCCACAGGAAGTGGAAATTAAGAGGCAAACTGTTTCCTAATTATAAGCTTAATCTTCATCACCGTTGATTCGAGAGGCTGAGTTCAGCCTTTCTGTCTGCATTTAATGTTGCTCAAACATTGCACTGTATTCATCCAATCAAACATTGCAGGGTCTCATAAACATCAAGCCGTTAGTTCAATGCACCTGTTAAAACTTCACTAGTAAAGTTGAGTACACAAAAACCCACGCAAATACACACAGAAACAAACTGAGCTGTATATGGAAAAAATGTCAGAAGACAATGAAAACTGTGGAGCAGCTTTATATGCAGCTCTATTATGAGGAGATGACAGGATAAGATATGAAAGCTAAAACAAACTACAGTGACATTTAATCACTTTAGAATGAATTCATACATTGTTACTAAGCCTTATTGCTGTTCAGTTTTAAAGGTTATTTCTAAGGACGCTGTTGCTAGACTCGTAAAAAAAAAGAAAGAAAAAAAGATGACATATGAAGACACTTTAAAGATGTGTGAAATCTTAATTTAACTGGTGAATGGTGTGAAAGTTAGAGGGGTAAAGTCCATTCATACCACAGATATGGGACTAAAAACAGCCCAGGATCCTGTACCTGTCTATCACAATCACAACCCATGTAATGGATGAGTACCCACTATATGTATAACATATGCATTCAATGCAAATGTTGCCTGATTTAAATGGGGTTTACTGTATTTTACTTCATGAAATAGCCGTTTTCACATTGTGGCCACTGTAACTTATCCTGGGCCATCCTAATGATGTCAGAATATTCTAAAAGGAAAATAAACTTCTTAGAATTTTTTGTATGTTTATTTTGTATATACGTTTTTTTTTCGACCGGCCTACTGGACAATCCGAATGGTCTGTCCATTTCTAGTAAAGTCAGAGTTTTACATCCCAGAAGGACTGATGTGAAATTTCCACTGGTTGCTCTTCAGTTTCCAAAATGCTTTCTAGTGCATCGAAACCTGTGTGAATTCTAACATCATCTAAAGACACAAAATAAATGAAATATGCCATTTCCTTATTAAAAACATGAATTATACTATTTGTTTCGATAGAACAGCACTCTCTCAAACATCAAATTGTGATTTATCAAACAAATAATACCCATGCTGCCCTTGAGAACCTCCATCTGTGACATGCTGAGGCCAAATATCTTCCTCCTTTGGTCATTTATTGGTCTGGTCCCTCATCTAACAGCTAAATCCTGTTAGCCTCTTAGCCTGCATGGTGGTACCTGATGGAGCTAAACCCGTTTAGTCTAGTTACCTAACCCTGTCATTGCCGTACTCAATGGCCCTAACTGAATTACACTAATCCTGTTTTAGAAACCCTGAGCAATCATCCAAAAAAAAGTATAGGTCACTTTAATGGTGATCAAAGGCTGTAAAATATGATCCATTATTAAAAGGTTTACTGTTGTATTGTCCTCATATGTTCACAGAGCACACCACTGGACCTGATTGAAACAGGCAAGACTCTCAAAGTCCAGGCAGAACGACCCCATCTTGTCAGCTTAGGAAGTGGCCGTCTGAGTACGGCTATAACCCTGCTGCCCCTGCCAGAAGGTAATTATATGATCGTGCAAACAGAAGGGATGCCAACTGAAAAACTGGGGACTACGAATTAAGATTAGTATTTGCTTGTTTTTGTGTAGTGATGTGCAGGAAGTTCATGAGAGAGGACAAACCTCATTGTACTGTCCTCGTAGCTTGACTATACTTCATCTCATGAAGAATGACAAATAGAGGACTTCTCTGACATTGAGGAAGAATGAGAGCAAGTATAAATCCCAGAGGAAGTGGATTTAGTGCACTATTCATCAGTGAATCATTTTATAATGGATTGAATATATAATTTCCTGTGCTCATGTTTACGGATGGATGGATGGATGGTTAGATAGATATGGACAGACAGACAGACAGATAATAGATAGATAGATAGATAGATAGATAGATAGATAGATAGATAGATAGATAGTTCATTATAATTCATAAATTATATTAATATATTGGTGAGATTCACCCATATGATGGATCTAGTATTGATTGAGGTTTCTATTTAGGACTGAGTCTTGAGGTTTTAGCTGTTTCTTGTAAATTGCATTCACAATGGCAGTGGCTTTAGAACAAGAGACAGAATTATGAGGCTATGACCTGACTTTGACACAACCCCCTGTTGCTCCACACTGTGTGGCTGAGCTTGCTTGAGTGAGAGCACGTTTGTCTAAGGGAATGTGTATGACTGCCTAAAAATGTCTTCTTTTAAAGAATGGATTATGTTCATCTTCAATCTAAAGTGCAGCATATACCCACCCCTGTCACTTGCTTCCTACCACTGTCTCTGTCACGTCTGCTTTCACAATAGGCTTGGGTAATGGCTCTTTTACACACATCTGCTTCATAGAATGAAATAACTAAGACGGGTCCATTCACTGGAGGGAGGGGCGTGGGAGTTTGTCTGTCTTGTCTTTGTTAAAGAAGCAGACATTAACCTGTCCTTTTGCTGCAACCCTCGTGCAAGCCTTGTGCTGAAGTATTTCATATATTATTATTAAAAAAATTTCTAAGTATTGTAACAATTTAAAACAAGTAATTAATTAAGTGTCATCTTTCAATACATCCTTTTTTAAACCTTATATTGTCCATCCTTATGTTTAATCAGTGTAGTTTTATGCAGCAGTGTAGTTTTAATCAACTGAATCTCTGTCACATGTTGCAGGGAAGACTACACTCGGTCATGGGAACACAGACATTAATATTCAGGGTCCGGGTGTGACTGCTCAACATTGCTACATTGAAAATGTGGGGGGAGCCATCAACCTATACCCCTGTGGAAATTTGTGCTCATTGGATGGCTTAGCAGTTACCAAACCTGTCAGACTCACACAAGGTAAGCAATGCCTCATTTACAGTTGCTCTAGGTTAAGGTTGCTCTGAAGCTTATTCACCTGATTTTACTTCCATATATGTAGAATAGGTTACAAAAGGAGCTTTATTTTTAATGTGGCATTTATAATGGAAACATTGGAGTCTTAGTTTTTTTTAAGGAGACCTGCATCTGAGGATACATTTGTATTTATTTATTTATGTGAAATAAAAGCACATTGTGTCTTGCTGATGGTTTATTAATGTTAGTGCTTCTTTTGGATTTTCAGTTTCATATTCAACTGGTTGCCTTGAACTCTTTTGACAGTAAATGGATTCAGCCTCCACATCAGTAAAATACATTTCCAAATACCATTCTACTTATCAAGAGACTTAGTTATCGAGTGGATCCAGTGGACAAATTTTTCAGCTATTATCATACTGGATGGTCTGCTTAGTTCTAAAGTTAGAAGGCGGCATATAAGGAAATAAGAGTTAAGGCCTTTGCTTAAATTCAGAACACTGTGAATCTTCTGCATGCAGCAGCTGACTTGGCATCAGATATTTACCATTTCACAAGATTGCATTTCTAAAGCTAGAATAACTGTATGTAGCCTACCCATTTAGTGTTAATAATGATAAGGGTTTTTTGGACATCCCTTGAACTTATACTACTCTTGAGCTATTTCTGGCTGTCCAGTTTGGAATCGCATCAGTGTGTGTTTGTGTTATACATGGGGCCATTGCACTATGATAATGATGAGAGCTAGTTTGACCTTCCATTTGAAGAACTTGACCTTGCCCTGCTCTGTTGGGCTATTTCAGGCACTCTTGAATCACATTGCTCTTTATTAGTTCTATACATTGGGAAAGTGTAATGCTACAGAAATGCGATGTTTTATTTGGTTTCTCAGAATATGTGTTTTATCTCATTAACAGCAGCTGTATCTATTTAACAAATATGTGTTAAGCTATAGCAAATGTCAAGTTTTTAATGGGGCACCTAATCATATATTTTTGACATTTAGCTAAGAGAAATGTGTTTAATACCAATTCGAGTATAAGGGCTATAGTGATCATGTTGATCCAGATGAGCTGATTTGCAGTCTGCCCCCGTTCGCAATCTGTGCATGACAATAACATGAGACAGCCGGCGAGAGGACAGCTGTCCAACGTGCCACCCAATAGCTACATTTGTCTTAATGAGGCGTAATAGTCCTCAACAGATTGAATGCCCGTTAAGAGTGTCTTTTTAAAACCCAGAATAACTAACAATTTGGGGTTGCATTCAAATAAAAACATCTTCTGGCGTCTGAACATCCGCGAAGTCCGGAGTTTCGCCTCAGGATAAAACTATAGTTCTGTCTTAAATTCCCCGGATGTCGGACACTTTGTCGTTTTAACTGCTTCTTTTGGGTCTTGTCCGTTTTCTTTGGTCTGGCTATGACAGTCGGGCAGGTGACAGCTGTGCTGTTTTGTGTTGTAGCAGAAGTCAGTGAGTGGACGCGCAGTTGTAGCGCTTGACATTTACATCACAAAAGCAGCGGACAGACACGCGCTTAGCGCTCTTTCCTCCACGCGACGCTCTTTCCTTCTCAGCAGAGGACAGCTGTCCAACGTGCCACCCAATAGCTACATTTGTCTTAATGAGGCGTAATAGTCCTCAACAGATTGAATGCCCGTTAAGAGTGTCTTTTTAAAACCCAGAATAACTAACAATTTGGGGTTGCATTCAAATAAAAACATCTTCTGGCGTCTGAACATCCGCGAAGTCCGGAGTTTCGCCTCAGGATAAAACTATAGTTCTATCTTAAATTCCCCGGATGTCGGACACTTTGTCGTTTTAACCGCTTCTTTTGGGTCTTGTCCGTTTTCTTTGGTCTGGCGATGACAGTCGGGCAGGTGACAGCTGTGCTGTTTTGTGTTGTAGCAGAAGTCAGTGAGTGGACGCGCAGTTGTAGCGCTTGACATTTACATCACAAAAGCAGCGGACAGACACGCGCTTAGCGCTCTTTCCTCCACGCGACGCTCTTTCCTTCTCAGCGTTTCCCAGTATTTCCAATCGATTGGATATAAGTTTAAAGAGTTCTATTTTCCAAACCTGGTAGGTGAAACTGCTTTATCTTATCTTCAATATTTTGCCAATTATTCGCCTGTTACGCTGTAGAGTTGCGCTTTTGTACTCCATATACACCATATATTGATTAACCATTGAACGCCGTTTACTTATGTGTCCTATCACAAATGGTTAATATCATGTATATTAGAACCAAGTTATTTTGTTCAGCTCAAAAATCTAAACCATAGCGGACTATAATAAATATAGAATAGCCAAACTAATATAGTTAGTTCTGTTGCAAATGTTTGTAAGTTAGTATGGTAAGATTTATTTCAGTAATGTGTGTAGTAAATAGATTTATTATACAAATAACTTAAATATTATTTAAAGGCACAGTATGTAATTTTCGCCGCTAGAGGGCGCGTATTCAAAATAAACAGAGACAAAGGCGTAGCTGTGACTGAGTGTGGAATCATGGGAGTTGTGGTCTTCATCCCCACAGCCGATGCAATCTGACGGGACTCGGGCAGAAATCATGTTCATGGATGAGCTAATGATTTATTAACGTTGAGCGTTGTCCAGATATTTTAGTTAAAGGAGAGGTAATAAATATTGTTGAGCATTTTAAATATTTAGGTATGATTATGGATTCTAACTTAAATTTTAAAAAACATATTAAAAAGGTCTCTAAAAGTACTAGAGCAAGCTTGATGATCTTTAGGAATATTAGGCACCAATTACCTGTGGCTGCTGCTAAACTCTTTATGCATTCAATGATTCTTCCTCATTTATCTTATTGTGCTACAAGTTGGTCTCATACAAGTATAACCACGTTAAAACCATTATATACTATTTATAAACAAACTGTGAAAATCTTAGCTAAAAAGCCAAGGAGTTATCATCACTGCAATATTATTAAGAATTATAAATTATTGACGTTTGACAATTTTTTATTATTTGCTGATGTGTGCTTGATGTACAAACTATTTCATGATCTTGCACCACCACCTCTTAAACAATGTGTGACTTTCTGTAAGGATAATATCAGGCAGACTAGGTCATCAGTTAGAGGTGATTGTTCAACTAAATTTAAGAAAACTGTTTTTGGACAATCAGCTTTTTCAGTTAGAGCAGCAGAAAGATGGAATTTAATACCTGTTAATATTAGAGAGTGTACAACATTTAGTATTTTTAAAACTACGCTTAAAGTATGGCTTAAGGAAAATCAAATATGTGATCATTGACTTGGTTTTGTAATTTAATGGAGTATGATGTGATATTGTATTGTATATTGTATGTGTTGTGTGTACTGTATTATGTGTGACTTAATATTGTAGTTTTGTAACAACATCCTGCCCAGGGACTGCAGATGCAAATTAGCTTTATAGCTAACTCTGGCACAACACTGTTGTTGTGCGTTGTCCCTGTACAAATAAATTGAATAAAAAAAAACGTAGTAGAATGAAGCAGGGTGAGGCTAAAAGCCGTTGAAGCGAAACGAGGCCGCTGAACGAGAGTGACACACGGCTCGAAAGCAGCAGAGCTTTTATTATGCCACAGTCGACCGCTTCCACTCCTTCCGGTCGTGCGTATGTGGGGGGAAAAAGCAGCGCTGTTTTATCATACTAGATACATTTGAATATATATATTATAATGCTACTCTGTGCGGTCGTCACCGGTCTATTAAAACGCTCAACATATTAAATTGTCTTTGGTGTTTCCATGTTTTCTACAAAACAAAACTGGAAATCGAGGGGTTATGACGTCATTGACAGGCGACACAATGACACTATAGACACGGTCTGCATCACTAGTTAAAATTGCTTATTTCTCTGGATTTAAACATTCTTCGAAACATTTGGGATAATGTAAGTACACAAGTCAGCAAAATATCTAACACTGTTTTAGTGGTTTTTGGACATTTTAATAAAATAAATCTTACATATTGTGCCTTTTAATGGTCTTCACACACTTCTGCTTTACAAATTATAGACTGCTATTTAACGCTCTCATGCACTTTTTGGGAACGCTCTCAGAACACAACTAGCCTACGTCAGTTGTTTTATGGGGCTTAATAGAATAAAACAGCACTGCAGTATATTTTCTCTGATTTATTTTTTGACCCAGCCTGAGCCCTCTGATGCCCACTTGTGCCAAATGCCTGTTTGATTGTTTAGTCTTTAGTTGTGTAAATCGAGATTATATTCTGTCATCAGTGATTTGACCTTATTTGTTCTGTCTGTACCACATTTTTAGGAAGTATACAAACGGAATATTTTCTTTCACTTGTTTTTCTGAGTGAATTCTCAGACTGGCCTGTAACCATTATAGATATTGAGATTGTACCCCAGTTTTTAGATTATTACTGAATTGAATTTGTTTGATTTATTTAAATATTACAGTCTGTTCCTTCTTGAATCTCAAATATGTGGCTATGTCCATTCTCGGTTGTGTTTGTATTGTACATATATGTGGCAAAACTACAGAGTATGGACACTGTATGAGGTTCAGCATTGACATGGTCATAATAGAGAAAGCGGTTTAATTTTAAAAAGACTGACAATTCAGCAACAAAGACACAGTGATTTATGTACAGTGGTGAGCAAGTGTTGAAAAGAGGGATTTTCTGTTGAATAACGGAATGGCATTAAGTGGAACTCATGTTAGTGTTGCATGTCATATCCTGTCCTCTACTGTACTGTAAGTCAGCAATGAGTCATACTGATCTTATACTCTCTGTGCTTTCTGTGCCCATGTTCATTATGAAATGGAAGTCTGGCTCATAATCCACTGGCATTTTGACAGACACTGCATTGATCCCTCTTCCCCATTAATCACACCACTTTCATAAGGGCAGAGGGACAAAGTGATATGAATGTATAGGAGCTATATGTGTGCATTTCCTGCTAATAGACAAACTCAGTTTAATCTTTTTGTTTGAACTCTATGATATGGCAAGATAAGCTGTGATATGAGTTGCAATAAAGCATGTAAATAAGGACAGATTCAGGCCAGACAAACACTGTGTCACTTGTACTGATTGCTTTTTGTTTGGCTTTATTATGTTTCATCCACACCCCTGTTTTGTTTCATTCAGATGCTCTAGATTACCTTGAAAGAATAAAGTAATATTTATGAAGATATAATTACACTTTCAGCAGATGGAAGCATAAGATGACCTTTCTTGAGGTAAACTTCTGCCACATTCAGAGTTGTTGGGTATGGGGCTGGCAACTCCACCCGATAAAATTATTAAAAAAGGTCACAGAAAATGTCAGCTAACTTATAAACACTGTGTATTTCACAAATCCTATGGCAGTTTTCATTTTTTGCCCTTTATTCCTTGTCTTTAATGTCTTTAGTGTAACTCAGTGTAGTCAGGTGCAGTCTTTAATTCAGTCTTTTTTAAAATAATATTGTTCACTTGAATAAAAACATTTGGTTTAGAATGTCCCTCATAAAGCACTTTTTATTATACAGTGAACTTCTTAATCTTAACTTCTTCAGTTAATTTCTATTGGTATGGTAATTCTGTTTTTGCTTACATATGCTTCTTTGCTCAGGGTGTATGCTGTGTTTTGGTCAGTCATCCTTTTTCCGCTTTAACCACCCAGAGGAGGCCATCAGGATGAAGAGTTTGATGTCTGGTGGAAGCCCTGGATTTACCAGTACCTACAAGAACCACTCAGGTATATATACAGAAGCAAAATTGCACTGGCCTGGAATCTGGTAGTGTAAGGTGACTGCTCTGGATGCAATGGGGAGCTAAAATTGCTGAAGGCAAGAGAGAGAGCTAAATTTGTGAATAATGGTGCACATTCCATCTATTTAATTACTAAACATTACAGCAAACGGGGCACAGAGAGGCATTGTACCCTAGATCATTATAACAAGTTCCAGACACTGCTCAGGTGACACAAATCTGCCTAAAATAACTGCCTAATCCTCCCTCTTCAATATCCATGTTACTGGAGGAAACTCCAGCTGTATCTTTGCCCATTTTAAACACTGCTCTCACTCATTCAGCATTGACTCATTTCAAATAGTCTAGAATCCAGGAAGTGATGTCTTTGGAGGAGAAATCGCTTTGAAAAGAATGGGAATTTGAATGGCCACAGGCACTCTGTCAACTGCTGGAAAGCCCCTGCTGGGTGACTTTGGCTTTGACCCTGTTAGTTTAGAATTCTTGAACACCATATTGGAAATTTTAAAGAAACATGACACCATGACAGTGATGAATATCACGTTGTTGTGATGCCAGTGTGGGTGTTAACTGTTGTGTGCATCATTGTTTTTCTGTCTGACCCTATAGGTCTTTCAGTCATTAGTTAAAAAACAAACAAACATTGAAATGGTTATTTGGTCTTATTTAATAGATACTTGTCTATACTTGGAAAATAAACCTCAACTTGCTCTTCATTTTGATAATAATTAAAATGCATTATATATGAAACATATTTGCAATTACTTGTTGAACAAATCAAATTATTTCTCACCTTACAAGCTGAGCAAACAGCAAAAGAGCTGTTCCTTATGAAGCAGTGTGACAAAAAGGTTTTTTGTGTTATAATTACAGAAAGGTACTTTTTTTCTGTTCAATAAGCATACCAAATGTTTTTTTCATTTTGTTTATTAAAAGTTATTTTTTTTGTCCTACCATATCTATCTATGTATCCATCTTTCAGGCAGTGTCCCGTCATTTCAGTCGCATAATTCTTCATTTGACTTAATCTTTAAATTCTAAAATGTTTAAATTCTAAAATGTTTGAATTCTTGTAAATTCTTAGCCACTTTTATCAATGGATTCAAGTAGCAAAATAGCATATTTAGATGGTTAACTGCTGGACAGTAGAAGCATAATATTACAAAAATTTTAAGAACAACTTGTTTAATTGGTAAAATGACAGTTACATATATATACTGTATATTTCCAAATAAAATTACATTTGTGCTTAAAAGGGTAGCTTATACGAAAGCTTCGCTTATGTGTTGTGAGCATGTGTTCTCCCCACTGTGCCATGGCTCTGACTAAAATAACGTGTTTAGTGCACCGGTGGCCCTGGCTGCAGAGAGTGAACAGAACTGAGTGCATTCAGCTGGTCTTGAGTGTGCAGAATGAGTCATGCCATAATTCAGGCTCCATTCTCCTCTGTCTGCTCTGACCTTTGGGCAGAGGGTGGGATTCCTGCCACGCAGTCTGTAGGCTGAGAGACACACCCAGAGTGTATGTGTAAGAGAGGGGGAGGTGTGTGTTTGTAGGCATTATACCTAGCCCTGTCCTGTATGGGTTTAGAGCACATGTGGTATGAGTGAAACATGGTCCTGACAGTTTTAAATATAGCATTTTCAAATCCATGTGATTGCCAGATTTGAGAGTTAGATGTCTGATTTAGGTTTTATTTTTGTTGTTGATCAGATCAAAATAGCTTTAATAATGTTGTAAATAATTTTTTATATAATGGATTGTCAGTTTAATGTTAAAAGTATGGTTCTGGGTAAAGTAAAGTAAATTTTTATTTGAAGAAGACCACGTGTATGTTTGGGGTCTGATTTTTAAAAAATGTTTGGGGTTTAAAGTAGTCTCTTATTTTCACCAAGACTGCATTCATTTGATTATTCAGTTAAAACAGTTTTAATGCAAAGTATTCTTAATATGTTTTAATTTATTATATCAAAATATATTAAGAACTGAAATAGCAAAGCTGCATTTTTTTAGTAGCTATTACTCCAGTCTTCAGTGTCACATGGTCCTTCAGATATCATTTATATATGCTGATTTGGTGCTAATATGTAACATTTCTTATTATTATCAATGATGAAAACAGTTGAGTTTCTTAATTATGGAAACTGTGATATATTTCTTTTTTCAGTATTCTTTGTCTTTTGTGACATTTATGTAATGGTCTTTAATGTCTTTGCTGTTACTTTGGATCAAACTAATGCATTCTTGCTGAGTAAAAGTATTGATCTTAAAAAAAAATTATTGCTAACCCCAAACTTTTAAATGTTAGTGTATATATTTTTTAAAAAATCACATATTTTGTTAACCTGGTACGTATCTTGTATGAATTTGCTATGGGATTTTTTTTTCTCATTTTGTCTCTCATAGTTGAGGTATACATATGATGAAAATTACAGGCCTCTCTCATCTTTTTAAGTGGGAGAACTTGCACAATTGGTGGCTGACTAAATACTTTTTTGCCCCACTGTAAGTTCATATTTAGGATTGTCAAGTAATGTTGTTTATTCTCCACAGAAACCTATGGGGAAGTCAATGGCAACCACGTTCCTTTGCACGAGCGACCTCGTCCTGGACACGGCACTCTTGTGCGCTCTATTGAGAAGGATATTCAGGACATTATGAATTCTCTGACTATGGATGAAGGCCAGACTTCCTCATCTGAGCAATGTAAAAAAAAACGCCACCCCATTCCACAGTCTGCCATGCTCAACAGGAGCGGCCACGGTCTTGTCTCCCCTCCAACCAGTCCTGGTACTTTGTCTGTAAGCTCCAGCTATGAAAATACCAGTTCTTCTTTCTCCCACCTCTCCACCCCCTCTGTGGTTTGTAGTCCAGGGGCTTGTTTGGACTCCGCTAATACCCGTTCCACCAGCTACACCCACACCGTCCAGGCCCCGGTGCCACAGCCACGCACTTTTGCATCCAAAGCCAGTAGTTCAAACGGAGGGCTAAAGGATCAAGAAAGTCCCAGGCTTCAAAAAGCCTTGACTGAAACTCCCTCAAGCCCTTCTACAAACTGTAGAGGCGAGAGTCCACACCTGGCCCATGGTTCCTCTTCTGGGTCTGTCTCAAATGCATCTGGAGATTTAGGCAGACAGATCAATGCTAGGCTCACCTCCTTGTCCTCACCAGCATCTTCTAGCCCCAGATCCAGTGTTGGCTCATCAGTCCAAGAAACTTCTTCCAGTCTTCAGTCCCATTCACGTGCATTCCTTCCTCCAGACAGTCCCCAGTCATCCCGCCGTAGTGTAGAACAATCCAGCATGCGTGAACTTCCTCTCAGCCCCTCCACAGCACGCAGAGGTGTCCTTGGGGTGCCAGTTCTTCCTGGAGCTCTACCCGGTGTTCCTTTGACCTCTCGTGGCCGGACTGTACCAGAGAGTCCTCGTCTCCAACGACGACCCACAGCTGAGGAAGAAGTAGGAAATACAAAATTGCATGCCAGAAGTCCATCTCCTGTATCTGTTCTTTTGAAGGACCAGCCTTGCTGTAAGCAGAAGACGGGTATCACCCCAGCTCTAGGCTCTCAGACAGGTGTGTCTCCTCTCACTAGTCCCCGTAACCAGAGAAAGAACCCCAGGGAGCCTCGGCAGGTTCAGCCGCGCACACGGGAACGCAAGAACAGCATTTCAGAGGTCAGCGACAAAGAGGAAGACCTACTTGAGTACCATCGCTGGCAAAGAGAGGAAAGGATGCGTGAGCAGGAAATGGAGAGGCTGGTATGTCTTGAGCTATTGTGTATTTTCAGTATCTGTCAAAAGTTTGGACACACTTACTCATTAAGTACTAGTTTTATCATCAAACTCTGAAATAAGATGGAGGGTACCCTACCTTTTAAAAGGGTTTTAAAAGTTAAAAGATTTTTTTAAAATTAATACTTAAATTAATACTTTTAATTAGCAAGGATGCATTAAATTGATCAAATGTGTCGGTAAAGACATTTATAATATAACAAAAGATTTCTATTTCAAATAAATGAAATAAAAACTTTCCATTCATCAAAGAATCCTGAAAAAAATGTATCGTGGTTTACACAAAAATATATTTATACTGGAGTAATGGCTGCTGAAAATTCTGCTTTGCCATCATAGGAATTAATTACATTTTAAAATTATATTAAAATAGAAAAGTTATTTTAAATTGTAATAACACTTCACAATAACCCTGTTTTACTTTATTTTGATAAAATAAATGCAGGTTATTTAATGTTAAATAAAAATAATATTTTGTAATTTAATTATGAAGTTTTTGCCTATTTTATCTGTTAAAACTCACACATTTAAATTTTAGTTTTGTAAATAATTTCTCTTCAAAACTAATTTCAATCATTTAAGCAAAATGCTTTAGATCAAAAGTTTTTAAGATCACGAGACATAAATTGCCATCATAGGAATTAATTACATTTTAAAATTATATAAAAATAGAAAAGTTATTTTATATTGTAACAACACTTCACAATAACCCTGTTTTACTTTATTTTGATAAAATAAATGCAGGTTATTTAATGTTAAATCAAAATAATATTTTGTCATTTTATTATGAAGTTTTTGCCTATTTTATCTGTTAAAACTCACACATTTAAATGTTTTCAATGGGATAAAAATTGATCAAGATGCTCCAATGCTGTTGTGGGATATGCTTAGGTTTTATTTTTTTTTTCACTTTTCGAATGAAATCTTAATATGATTTCTGGTACTAATAAAGTGATCGTTTGTCTAAGTGAATGCAGTAGAGAGGCTATAGATTCCTGTAGAGGACTGAGTATTTGAGTGATGAGGCTTTGAGCGTCACTGGCTTTTGGAGTGGACTTAGATTTAAGTGCTGGAGGTTGAGCGGGTGGAGTTTAAATGGTGAGAGTTTTCTGGTAAAGACATAGAGAAGTTGGAAATAACACACAGATGTAAATTCCTGAGGCCTTTTTAAAAGCTCATGTGCAGAACGAGTGGCTGCCCGAAGACTATATTTGCCCGACACAATCTCAGTGCTTTGAGCTACCCTCCTCCTCATATGCACACATATACTGTCCTCTGGCAGTCTAAACATGCGTCTCCACCCTAGCCCCTAAATTAACCACACATAGACATCATCTCTCTCATTTAAACCTATTAAAAACACCAGATGCTCCTTGGGTGCATGTCAAATTCCCATATGGAATTGCCATTCATCTTTCTTACTCAGTCGCCACCTTATTTATCCCTGAAATGATATGCATCTTCTGTGCCTCTAACCAACTCCTTAATGGCATTTTTATGATGAAATACTCTAACCTTTCTTAAAAATTCAATACACAGACAAGCCTAATTATATGCGGCAGCCACAGAAAATTCTTGTGATTCCCTTGAGAAAAACTATTTTAGGATATTTACTATGAGACAGAACTGAATTAATAAAGAATAGGAAGTTGTTTTCCATAATAAGTCTCCGGTCAGCGTTTCAAGACAATGGCAGGAACATTAAGTGATGGTTAACTCTGTTTTGGTTAAACTTTGTCCTGTGGTCTCTGGTCTGTCTGGCACTGTTGTCATGGTTACAGCACAGCTCTGTCCAATAGTGTGGCAATTTGAAAGGTAGTGCTAGTTTTTGTCCAAAAGGAGCTGAATGCCCCTTTTTAAAGCTGCTCTCAGGTTGGTATCACCTTTTTAAAGGACTTTTGCCACATTAAAGCACAGCTGAGCTGTAGGCTATTTAGCACTAATCTCCATCCTAAAGCCATAGAATACACAGACATTGATTGCTAGTTTAAAAAATGACATTTCAGAGGTGTGACCTCGTAGCGTTTCAGTGTTAAGATGTGTGTGGGGTTAAAGATGGGGCAGAAGTGATAAACGCTGAGAATACCCTGAGATTTCAACTGGTTCTTGACCAGAAAAGTATTTGGGAGATAAGAAAAAAAAATGAAAGCAAGAAGTGAATTATAAACAAGAGAAAAAGCATTTGGAATCTCATCTTTTCTTCTAATCCTGACATGAGATAATATTGCTTGTGGGCTAATGTCATATTTACTCTTAAATCCCTTCATGAGTCTGTGTTTACTCAGTTCTAGGTCATGGCCCAATTGGCTTGAAAAGGTTTCTTCTCTGTTCTACTGTAGTATTTCTGTGCTCCGCCTACCTTTTCTCTCTCTCTCTCTCTCTCTCTCTCTCTCTCTCTCTCTCACACACACATACACACAAACAAACACACACACACACACACACAGACAGACAGCCGTATTCTTAACAACAGTGGTTCTCAAATGTTTGAAACAAACAGTGAAAACAAGCGGTTTTCCTTTAGGAACCAGATGTTACATCTAACATCAAGTATTAGCCCAGCACTGAAACAAATTTGTTTACAGAGCAAAGGTATTGAAATGTATACTACCATTCAAAAGTTTAGGGTTTGAAAGTCTCTTATGCTCACCAAGGCTGCATTTATTTGATAAAAATATAGTAAAAAAAAAAACAATTTACAATAACCATTTTCTATTGTAATTTATTTTAAAATGTGATTTATTCCTTTGATGGCAATACTGACTTTTCAGCTTTATTCCAGTTTTCAGGTTCACATAATCTTTCAGAAATAACTCTAATACTGCTCAAAAACAATTTCCAGAACACACGGAACAAATTATTTGGGCAAATAATTTATGAACCATATTACTAAGTGACAGGTGAATTTTTGGCATAATATTGCTAAAATTATTTGTGCCAAATAAGTTTAATTGGATGCATAGACTTTGATGTCAATAAGTATTAGGGAGTATTTTCTCCTCCCTTTTAAAACTCTGTTCATTTTATTACCCTAACTGTGCAAAGTGATAGGTCTAATTGCATTTATTATTTTTGGGTCATGACACACGAGTAGAGAACTTGCTTTGCACCACACACAAACACATACTCTTTGTCTTCAAAGTCTGTGAAGATGTGTCTCTCTGGCTCACTTTAGTTTTGGAGGTCATTTTGCCTTTTGTTCCTATCAGTGTGTTTGTGGAAGCTACAGAGAATTTAAGCATTTCATACTTTAAACCACATGAGGGCAATATGGCACCAAATTTTGAATACATTTTTTTTTTATTTTCTTTTTTTATTTGTTTACCAGATTTAAAGCATCTAAAAATCAGTTTTAACATTAAACATTTAACGTTTTCCACTGCAATTAATGAATACTTTAAATACAGATATATAGTTTTTTTGTTAGGTAAGGAAATTCAACTTCTCTCCCTCTTAGGATTAGGGTTAGGGCCCAAATAGACATCAGTCGTGTCATAAAGTGGCTTCTGCACACAAAGGTTTAGTGCGCTGTGCTTTGTGTTGGTCTGTGTCGTGGCATCTTCAGCATGCATACCAGCTGTGCTGACACCCTTTTGTTGGAGAAGAATGCTGTTGCTATGTTACCCATCAGCTAGCGTTTACTTGTTCCAGTGCTCTGTCTGCACTCTCCTGACAGGGGAGACCTCGTTAAAAGGGAAGAGCATGTGTTTCAAGTCGTTTTATTGGCCGGTCTGGTGAGATAATGGCTCAGTGATATAGACTTTTAGAGCACTGAACACCAAGTGTGCTAATTTCAGTCTTTTATATTTAACAAATACTGTATTTGTCTCGTACTGTGTTCATTTTCAGAGGTCTGAGTCTCGGGTCTGTCTTATTGTTAATTATGTCTGTAAATAATTCCCTACTCCATCAAAATTGAATTTGATTGGCTGAAATGGATGGCTTGTGAGAGCACCGTCCCCTGCCATGCTATTTTAGTAATGCCACTTCACTTGTGTCATCTAGCCAAGCTGAGCTGGGTATTGTCCATGTAAAATATAATGAGCCCCAATGCCTAGAGCGCTAGTTAGTCTGGCTAGAGCTACGAGAGAACACCGGGTCTCTGGCAGCCTGTAAGTAGATAATGTACACACACACACACACATACTCAATCTAGGTAGAGTGATGGCAGCAGCTGACTATCACAACCAGGTGAGAGGTTGCTTGAGTGTGCTCAGAAGTTTGGGGGTCAGTAACTGAGCTGTAGTGTATTTGTATGACACCACAAGCACTGTTGCAGATGTTCGGGATTTTTACATCCTTTTTTTACATCCAGAGTTTAATGTGCCAAAAGAGCGAGTGAGAGTATTAACTACATGTGTTTACATCAAGATTCAAGATTTTTATTTATCACATACATGGTTATATAGAGAATAGTCTGAAATATCATTTCAGACTTTTGTGTTAGTTTTTGTGCTCTATGCACAGCTGAAACCTTTTTTTTGTGTGCTTGTTTCTAGGAGAGGCAGAGGCTTGAGACCATCCTGAATTTGTGTGCTGAGTATAATAAGAGCGACCCTCCAGTTGGTGTGGACAGAGGGAGGGCATGTCAGTTTCCAGGGATGGAGGAGGTCTCTGTTTGGCGACCCGCCCCTGACCCTGCGAGTGTGCTGGCCGAGAGCTCTCACAGACAGAGAGAGAGTGAGGAGGAGAACCTGAAAGAGGAATGTAGCAGCACTGAGAGCCAGCACCAGGAGGTACAACACACACATACTCATGCACACAAACTATTGGAGATGCTCCCACTATTAGACTGATGCACATACACAGAGAGAGAAATATAGTAAGGTCCAAAGATCTGAGATCACATTGAGCTTCAAAACCTAATTTAAATACACAGGATTTGGATTTGGATCATTTTTAAACAAAGAAGCACTGTGAAACAAAATTATTAAGAAATATTAAAGATTGTGCACCATTTCTAGGTCACTAGTCAAATAAGTAAATTTGTGACATTGATTATGTGACTCTTTATAAAGATGGCCAGATGTTCCTGCTTCCATTGAAGCTCAAGATGCTCTTTGAATCATCTCAAAACATGGGAGAACATGATTATCAGGTTTCACTCGAACTTGTGGAGTTCATGCAACTTGAGTGCATCTGTCATTCAAATAAAATAAATGTTAAATATTGTTACTGAAATTAAAATATATAGTGCATACCAAATACTAAAAAAATGCTAATTCTTCAATTCAGATTTTCACTCAAATTGTAACACTAATAATACAATTTACCATTACAGTGTGTATCAAAATGCAAAATAGAAGAGTTAGTGGTCTCAGAATTTTAGACTTCATTATATGCAAAACCAAAACTGCTTGAATGAGTACACTGACATATTTGCACTCACACATTATTATGCATATGTATCCATAATTTAAAATATGCAAGATTTGGCTAAAACACTCAACGGTGTACTTGTAGAGGTTCGTATGTACTGCATGTGGAAAAGTAAACATACATTTACCTCTTGAGGTCTGTTGGTAGTCCCATTTGAATTCACCTAGTTTTTCCACATTTCTTCTGCTCGTAAACACGCCTTTCTCAGCCTTTCTCTCTCCCTTTCATTAGAGAAAAATGGTATTCATTCATTTAGGTCACTGTTAGAATGCCAGGTAGAGTTTATTTGTTGCAACCATTGTCTGAGAGGTCTCAACACACTCTCTCTCTCTCACACACACACACACACACATGCACAAACACAATTTGCTGTAATTGACAAATGCTTTCTCAGCATGAAGATTCTTCAATGCTGGGGCAGCAGGAGAGAGCGTATCTGGAGGAAGAGCGGCTCAGGGTTATGGCTCGGGTGGACGAGCTGAAGACTCGTGTCACTGACCTGGAACAGCAGATACAGGAGTCCAGACAAGAGGTTAGACTGAATCATAAACCTACAGACCATTGCCTGTGTGATGTGCCTACACAGTGCACTGAACTTCCCTCAGTTCTGTCATAACTGCATGAATGAGAGCGAGAGATGTAGATTACATCAAAACTTGTAAAATCTGTTCAGTCACTGGTCGTCTTCATCTACATCAGTGCATCACCATCTGTCATGCATAGAAACATCTTTGGTGTTGCATATTAAAATCAATGTGAATACAGGATTTTGCCTGATCAGCAGAGCTGCGCTATTCATATGAACAGAAACATATGGAAGTGAACAGACTGTTGAATGTGTCGTTTTATTGGCAGGCAGAAATGGAGAGGGCATTACTGCAGGGTGAACGGAAGGCGGAGCTTGATCAAGTGGAGGCAGCGTTGGAGATCATCAATCAACTTCAGCTGAAACTGAATGAAGTGGAAAATTCGACTCGGAGGGAGAAAGAGAAGGTACTGACAACAAACACACTCTATGAAGCATGCTTCCCTGTTTCCTGTTTGTTTTTCCTGAAAAACTTTGTGGATGCATCTTTACTATCGTGCTAATTTCTAACAGCCTGATGTCTAACTCTTCATTAATCTAAATGACACTGATTACACTGCATGTTTGAGTGGGCACTTTCATATCAGTCTTTTGATAAAAGTTTATTTGGCATGAAATCTACAATATCCACCTTATTTTTAACGAAAGAATGGTGCGGCCATTTGTAAATTGAATGTGCAAGGCTTCCAGTGTTATCCACTTTCAGTTATTTTACCTGTGCAAAAACAGCCCATTATGCTGCTGATATTGCAAACTTGTATTTGTTATCATATAATTTTAATGTATTATCGTAATCATAAACATGCTGGTTTGTAGCGCAAATAGTTTTACCATTTACTGCACTTTGTTATTCTTCTGATTATTTACCTACAGTGGCTAATAAATTGTAAATCTTTTACATTCACAGTAAACAGCAGAGAAATCTGGGTTGCAAAACAAGGTAGATAATGTTACAGCCACCTTGTTCTAGACTGCAATATAAAGTCAATGTACTGTATTTAAAAAACAAAAAAATAATATAAGTAAATTCACACATCTGCAAATGTCATAAAGGCAACAGATATCACCGAACAGTCAATTCTAAGGCTAAATTGAGATATTTAATAGTAATACGATATTATATATGAATAGATGTATTGAGTAGAACTGACTGCTGTATAAATATTTATTCTTCTCAGATTTAGTCTGCTGCAATATGGGCTCTGATCGTCATGGCAACCCCATACCTAAACCTCTGTTTTAACACAGCATGGTGTCTTTATCTAAGCAGTTTCCTCTTTGTTTTCACCCCTCTCCGCCATCACTGACTCGCTGCGTGTGTATTTTACCAGTGTGTATATTACGTGTGTGTAATATTTTTGTAGGAAAGAGCAAAAGTCTCAGCTGAGCAGGATGTCCTGGCCAGGCTGAGGGATTCGTACAGTGAGCTGAAGGGCCAGCTTCATAAATGCCCCGAATCACTGAGGGAGCACTTACAGGAACAACTGACCAGGGTCAGTGTGTGCTTTGATACTGCCCGAGAGAGTCACTATGATTATCGAACATATACAACCACTTCACTTCAAAGAGAAGCAGGAGAAAAGAAAAAAAGTAGGATTGTTAGTAGATTAAAATAATTATTAGTGATTGATCTCATGATTTTTTTTTATTAGTTCACGTAATTAGTGTTGAATTTTCAATTTGCGTCTAATTAAAAAAAAAAAAATTTATTTGAATATATTTCATCCAGTGCTTCATTCCTTTTTGGGAGGGAGGGAGGGGGGGGAGAAAACAAAATAATATATAACAAAGCTGTTTTGCTGTTCGTCTCTCACAACAGTCCTCCAGTGGCATGGCAATTAAATTAAATACATAACTGCAAATTACTTTACTCTTAATTATCCTATGTGGATGTAATTTGTCAAAATATTGGCTATTAAGTAATCTTTTCTCCATTGTTTACAGTAGCATAGATGAGAGCTCTACTACAGAATTGTTTTGTGTGTGTGTGTGTGTGTGTGTGTATTAAACAGAGATGCTTGTAGTGGTTCTCTTATTGCAGCCAGTATTTAAAAATAAGCCAGAACACCATAGAACAGTTATAATTTCTAATTGATAGTCAAATTAATAAATAAATAAGGATGCACCAATATTATAATTCTGGCTCATACAACAAGCTGCCATTACAGTTCTCTAAATAAATTAAAAATAAAAGAGTAAAACATGATATCAGTTGGTTTAAATACTAAGTGTATTTATATATTTAAACTTGTATTTAAATATAATGCACAGTATGACAAATGGATATTTAAATTTACATGTACTAAATTATTAAATGATTGACATTTAGCAAGGGTAAATGACAGCAAGGGTAATCTAAATATAAAGGAAATGAACATGCAAAATTGAATAACAATATCCATGTATAAAATAATCTCTGATGTTATGCAAAAACAATTTATTGTGCACCTCTAAATAAAAGCAAAACAAATAGCAAAAAAAAGGCAAATAATCAGAGATTAGCAGAGTAGATTGATGTATCTACTCGTATGTAATAACATTTGTACACAAGACACACTATGAAAAATAACCATTGGTGTATATCACCTTCCAGTATCACCAGAAATTAATGGGCAAAACACATGACATGATATAACAACCTTAGCTGGACAGCTTATTGCAATCTGGATCTGTACAAACTGCACAAATATCCTATGGCCGTGTGTTGGCTGTGTGTCTGTGCTCCCTCTTGAGCCACAATATGCTCATGTCAGTAAAGGGTTTACACGCTGACTGAACAACCATGATCATTATGATGCACCTCTGCTCTTTTAGGCAATGAAAATGCATGAAATTCATTTACTTGTATGTCTGTCTTTTGCTTTCCACTCTTGCTTAAGTGCTTTTTTTTACTAAATCTCACTAATTCACTGATATGGTAATGAACTGAGCGAATCGCCTCTGTCTTCTGTATCTTTGTACACTTTAACCAATAAGCACCAAATAGAGGACGTTTATAAAATATTTTTTCAGGAGATGCATTGAAAAAAAAAAGTGATCCATACAGCAAACATTGTTTGGCAGACAGAGTGATCTTCTTTGGCATGTCATTGAGGAACATTTGTCTGTCTGCTTGTTTGTTTCTCCCATCTGTTCGTCTGCCTCTGTCTTTCCCTCTCCCTCTCCGTCTCTGTCCATCTGTGCATGTGTGTGTCTGTAGAAGGTGGAGGCACTGGAGTCGGCCACTAAGCGCTTTGAGGATTTGGAGTTCCGCCAGTTGGAGCGAGAGAGTGGCATGGAGGAGGAGAAGGAGACGGTCAGCAGGCAGCTGTTGCAAGAGAAGGCAGAGTATCACCGGAATGTGGCCAAAAGGAAGGTAATGACACTGATCTCAGGTCAGGTCTATTAAAGTACTCAAAGTCAGTGTTGAGCGGCTGATCCTGTATTAGACTGGAATGACATACAACCACGGCCTCCTTTGAAACATTTCTCTTGGTTATGTAGGAGAAAATGGCAGCTCTGGAGATCCAGGCTAACCAACTTGGACTTCAGGCAGCTCAGGATTGTGAAAAGATGGCCAAAGATCGAACTCTGGCCCTACAGATGCTCCAGAAGGTTGAGAATTTTTAAAAATTTCTATCTACACTTCATGCAAAGTGTCTTTAACACACAAAAAAGATAAAAAATATTACAACTGGATACTTGCAGACTTCAGGTTATATAGGTTATACAGTCTAGATTTGAATGTGACTAATGTTTTAGCACATCTGATCTCTTCTGGAAGCTGATTCCAACTGCGGGCGGCATAATAACTAAAAGCGAACTCCCCTTGTTTTGTGTGAACCCTTGGTATTTCTAGTCCTCAGCGACCAGCACAGATCAGCTCTAGGCATGAAGAAGCGATATCGTCCTCTTTTGGAAGACCAAACAGTAGTTTCCCTTTCACAACGAAGCACACAGCGCCTTCACGACATGGCGGCAGCGGCAACAATACTACAGCGAGAATAAAAGTTACACCTTCTTTCTTTGCGTGAACATTTGGGCGACGTTATGCAAATCTTCCCAGATAGTGACGTAGATATGTGGGGGCGTGTTAGAACGAGCCGTTTTAGGTAGGCGTGGCTGACTCTTTGGATTTGAGACTTTAGTCTTTGCAACTTTACAGATCTTCTTTACAGATCTGCACCAAGAGCTTGTAACACTCCAAAGAGAAAGGAAAAATTTAAATCGCATCATATGACCCCTTTAAGCGGCACTTTTTTCAACATTGATAATAATAAGATATCTTACTTGAACACTAAATCATCATATTAGAAAGGAGGATTATGTGACACTGAATATTGGAGAAATGACTCCTGAAAATTCAGCTGTCATCACAGGAACAAATTACATTTGAAAATATATATAAAATATAAATAGAAAAGTTATTTTCAATTATTATACTATTACACAAATGTACTGTTTTAGTGTATATTTAATAAAATAAAAGCAATCTTGGTGAGCATAAGAGAATTTTTAAAAACATAAAAAATCTTAATAACCCCTAACTTCTAAATGGTAGTGTATATAATGCTTAACAATTATATATTTTTTAAATTATGATAATTTCATTATCATTTTTCAGTGTATGTATTAGATAATTGAAGGCAGAAATAATCTGCCCAATGTCGTCTTCAGCCAATGGATGCACCACAGCAACAGTATCAGTATCTGTTTCTCCCTTAGCAGCAACGGGCTGGCAGGACTGAGGCTGGAGGAGATGGAAAAGATGTTGAAGGAGGCCCAGCAGGAAAAAGCCAGACTGGTGGAGAGTCGAGTGAGTACCATTAATCTTTAATTGTCTGTTAAATATAATCTATCCCTCTCCCTGTCTCTCATATAAAAGAGATATTTTTCATGCCATGGCATTACCCATTCAAGCCGCTGGTCCCTTTGGCATTACTGCATTAAAGATTGTTTCTTACCTGCAAAGAGTGATAGACATGAAAGACTGGATCTTAACAAGCTCTCCGACAGTAATACTCAGACAATCTCTTCCTGAATTATTTTTCATGCATCTGCACTGTGTATTTGATGTATTTGTATGCATTTTTCCCCCTATAATCTTCTCTCAGTAGATTTGAAGCCCCTCTGTGTCTTAATCTGTCTGTCTGTTATTTTTTGTGTCAGGAGAGGGAAGTCCAGGCACGAAAGCAGCTGCTGGAGGCTGAGAGAAGGCGGCGAGAGGAGGTGGAGAGGAGGCTGCAAGATGAGACTGAGCACAGGCAGAGACTTGTGGAGGAAGAGGTCAAGCTGAGAGAGAAACAGTGTTCCCAGGTCAGTACCTCTGGTGAACACCTCAATGAACTGCTCTCAAATCAGCAATACAGATAGTCGCCCAGTCTTTTATTAGGTAGACATAAAATCCTCACATTTTCCAGTGAGATAAAAGGGACAGTACATAAGGCTTGCATTAATAAATATTAATAATCATAATGCTTTATTGAGCAGTAGTTCATGTACATTCATATGAATGAATGTATATTTGGGTCAGTGATGTGGTGATAAGGTTATTCAAAAATACATCAAAAATATAATTAAAACTAAGAAATTACTTGAATACACCTCTTATAAATGATTTTGACATTTTATAATTTATTTTTATGCTATTATTTCATATAATCTTTACAAAAATGAGTCTACGTCTAACTGTCCAGCAATTGTAAAATAAAAAAAATTCATTAAAAGGCTTCATGAAAAGAAATGTTGGCATAAGTAGTGTGACATTTTATTATTATTTTTAAAAATAAGCAGTGACGCAGTTTTGGATTTTGATTCAGTAGTATTTAAAGAACTTTGTCAAATCAAAATCAGTGTGGTATAAACAACATGAAGAAACCCAGAAAATAGAGAGGACCCCTTTAGTTTATTACATTTCTAACTAGTTGAATAAACATTAACTAAAATGTTTAGCATAATATAATGTGTATATAAAATGTAACACCATGTTAGTGTTAAAAATAGAAGTGTTTGAAACACACAGTCTCCCTGTCTGCATACAGCTCTGAACACAGTAGTGTGCTTCGCTGGTGCTGCTCCGAGGTCAGCGAATGTTTTGAGTTGCTCTTTAAAAGTCTTTATGAGGTCCCTGGCTCAGCTTGACTGGACCAGACGGGAGGCATGAATGCACAGAGAGCAGCTCCGCACAGCAGGTGGATGAGAGGAGACACGCAGACAGATGGTGAGAGGGAGACAGCAGAAAGAAGATAAGATGGGAGGAAGAGGAGGGGTGTAAGGAAGGGCAGGGCAGTAGGACACCAATGTTTTGAAAAACACCGATAAATGGCATAACCAAAACAATGGAATCAACCTGTGATTTTTCACTGCTGTATGAATTGACATTTATCTAACACATTTTCTCTTCTTAAATGTAATCACAGCATCAAAATTATCATGTAATATTTCCATCAAATATATTGTTATTATGTGTACCTGAACAAGTAAATTTTATGGAAATATTTGAGACAGTAGCTAATCTGAGCGCTGCCCTCCTCAGGCTCGGCCAATGACGCGCTACCTGCCTATTCGAAAAGAGGAGTTTGACCTGCGTTCTCATGTGGAGTCATCAGGCCACTGCGTGGACACATGTGCATATGTCATTGTTACAGAGAAAATGTGCAAGGGCCATCTTGTGAAGATGGGCGGCAAGATCAAATCCTGGAAGAAACGCTGGTTTGTCTTTGATCGACTTAAAAGGACCTTCTCTTATTACGTAGGTAAGTAAGGTAATTTTGTATTTATTCCTGATTAAATGGTCAGCAAATAGTAATGTTTTTTTTTAAGTTTGTAATGCATTTTTTAAATTCAATGCAGCTTTTTTTTTAACTGTGTAATTCTAAAACAATTTTTTTCTGACAAATTGATAGTGTATTGGATATAAGTCTGAAAGAAAGCACATACTTTTTCGGTTTTTGCTTAGTATAATTCAAAATATGTAAGGTGAAAAAAGAAAAAGAGAAGAAATAAGAAGGTTAAACAAATTAAACAATCCTACGGCATTGACCAAGTGGCAAGTTCTGGTGAAATGTTTCATCTTGGTTCGCTCGATTTCCGATGATCCTGTCTTTCTTTTAGATGTTCTCTTTCTCACACATACGCTTTGCTCATGTGTGTAGCCTTTTCACCCCCTCACTCCCCATGTTAGTAGTGATGATGATGATGATGATGATGATGAAATAAATTGCAATACTTTCTCTAGCCCAGCGTTTGTGAGGGATGGGGGGGTGTAGATTTACCCCTGGCTCAGTTCTGAGTAACAATACTGCACTTACAACTCTTCAAAAACATGAAACAAACACAATTTATCCCATTACTAAGCAGATTTGTGTAACAAGTAGAGGCGAGCCAAAAAAAAATGGAACCGTTCAAAAGGGAAAGTAATAAATCTTATGTGTCGACAGTTGCGAGGGGGCTTACTGGAGGCTGACAAGCCTAAAACAGTGGTTTCAAATCATCTGCGAGATAGAATCATGAAGAGAGGTGTTAATTTGCACTAAGTATCAAAAAGGGAAGTCTGTCAGAGAAGCTGCAGTGGGTGGCAGACGGTGTTAAATTCACTTCAACTATGTGCTTGTTCAATCCCTGCGGTTTTTCCTTTTTTTTTTATTTTTTTATTCCAATATCTTGGAATAAAAGATATTTAAAAAAGATATTACTGAAATGTAAAACAAATGACAACAGATGTATTGTGTAATGCAAATAAACTCCAAATGGGAAATGGCAAATGTAATCTCTTCTTAATAAAGCTGATCTGAACAATAATTATTATTTTTTTAATTCTATTAACAGAATTTTCCTTTTCCTTAATTTTCCTCATGGTTTTTACTCCTCAGATAAACATGAGACCAAACTGAAGGGTGTCATCTACTTCCAAGCCATAGAAGAGGTGTATTACGATCACCTGCGCAGCGCAACTAAGGTAATGAGTGAACTGATGTCGTGCTTTTTCAACACCTCCTGTTTACTGTCAGCATCAACAAATCAAGCTCCATACCACTCACACTACAGCACCAACTTTGGTGAGCACACAGTGAAAGTTTAAACAGACAGGCGTCTTTTTCTAAAGAGAATTTCTTACCGTAGTTGGCAAAAGAGATCAAAGGCGGCTTCATGTTCATGTACATTTCATCATGCTTTCTTTTTTTTCACTTCAGCAACATTCCTTTTTTTTTTTCTCCCTGCCCTGCTGTTCTCCGTCTTCTTGCACTTTAACGCACTTTGTCTTTTTTTTCCTGTTCTTACAGAGTCCGAATCCTTCGCTAACCTTCTGTGTGAAGACTCATGATCGACTTTATTTCATGGTGGCACCATCCCCAGAGGCCATGCGTATTTGGATGGACGTCATAGTAACAGGTGCCGAGGGCTACACGCAGTTTATGACCTGACGGAGAGTGGATGCAATTCTGCCTGCTGTGATCTGAGAGCAGACAGGTCGTGCAACATATGCAAAATTATGTTTAAAAATCTTCAGCCAGCACTGATTTCTTTGTCATTGTGACTAGAGAAGAACTGGATGCAGGCTGGCCTGATGACGATGTATTATTGTGCAACTGTTGGTCCGATTTTATGTCACTAAAAAGAGAAGTTGAAAAAAAAATATATATGTGACCCTGGAGCACAAAACCAGTCGCTGGGGTATATTTGTAGCAATATCAAAAAATACATGGTATGGGTCAAAATTATAGATTTTTCTTTTATGCCAAAAATCATTAGGACATTAAGTAAAGATCATGTTCCATAAAGATATTTTGTAAATTTCCTACTGTAAATATATTAAAACTTAATTTTTTATTAATAATATGCATTGCTAAGAACTTCATTTGGACAACTTTAAGTGTGATTTTCTCAATATTTTTATTTTTTTGCACCCTCAGATTCCAGATTTTCAAATAGTTGTATCTCGGCCAAATATTGTCCAATCCTAACAAACCATACATCAATGGAAAGCTTATTTATTCAGCTTTTAGTTGATGTATAAATCTCAATTTCAAAAAATGGTCCCTTATGACTGGTTTTGTGGTCCAGGGTCACATATTATATATAGATGGAAAGAGTGGACGCGAGAATGTTTGTCTCTGTATTATTGTAATACAGAGACAGGAGACAGTTACAGAGCTTACAGTATTTTATGGCATTTCAAATCAATCATATGCTCAGTACTTTTTTTAAAAATATATATCTCTATAGTTTTATGGTGCCAAGTCTTCAGATGTATCAATGCATTACCAACAATAATCTTTACTTTTAGTTATTTAGGTGCAGTTACATGGTTACAATGAGATTAAACTCAATAGCATGTGATAGCATTCATAATCTCATTTTAGGTGGAAAGGCAGCATTCACATTTTGAATTGCTATAAAAGATCGTTAAATCACATACTGCATTTCAGTGTTGGCTGTGTCGTATATATAATGTTTTTTGCTGCATAGATTATTAAACAAATGGCTCAGGTGCTCAGACATGTAACTAAAAACGGTATGCCTGTTTCCTGATTTGTAACTTTATCATACAAGATTATTTGGTGGGGGACCATTGCAGTAAATATTTTTGTCTTCAAGATCTTGGTACTTTTGTACCGACAGGTTTTGTCTTGCCAAAGCTTCACCCATGTTGATATGTGTACTCTGACTTGCACATCTTTTATTTCAGGGTTTTAAAATGTGCATTTACGATTTATAATCAGATATTTTGTGTATTGTGCCATTCAGATTATTGATGTCCTCTTGAACATCCTCTAAGTTAATGAGAAGAACAGTGTGAACTTTTGATAATTCACTGTTATAACACTAACAATGTATTTCTCTAAATATTAACTTTTTTCATTTGACAGAAACAAGTAGCATATACTCTGAAGCAAATAAAAAAGTCTAACAAAATGTTTGGTTTTCTTGTGCTCATATAGGGGAGAGCAGAGCACGTTGTCACACCTTTTACTCCAATTAATATTTCTCAGGTATTGATTATTTTTAAAAGTTAATTTCTGCATATAGACACAAATGCTAAAGTCATGACTGCAAAATGTTTGGCCATTTCCACCATTATTTCCATTAGTTACAAAATTAATGAACATGCAAAAGGTAACATACAAAAAAATAAAAAATATTGGTTTTGGACAACAAATATTGTAATTATTAAATTGTATACGTGTATATAACTGCATTATTACATAGTTGACTCATATCTGAATGTATCTCAGTGTGGTTTTATTTTGTTCATTTGTTTACCAAGCAATATGTTGTTGTTGTTTTTTTACATTTTAAAAAATTGTTTGGATAATTCAACATTTTTTTAACTCAAAATGTTATAGTTCTTGAGATATAACCTTTGTGACAACTTCCCTGTGATATAACAAGCTCTGGTCTCCCTTAACGAATCGTGTAGGCTATGTAAGGTTCACAGATAGAAAATATAACGATATATAATCATATTGGTATAACCACCTTGATCCATGCATTTAAATTATCCACAAAATAAGATCCTCTCACTATAGCTTGTACCTAAAATGTTGATATCACTCACATTGCACAAACCATTATGCCATAGCCAGTGCCATATTTGCCTAACAGACAAAACCGGCAAATCTAATTTATGACACCAGGAGGTCAGTTCCGCATGCATGTACTGTCAGTAATGTAGGGGCTCAGTTATTAATAGTCATCTTCGCTGTAAACCAGGCAGCAGTTACAACTGTATCTGTGAATGGACAGGGAATTTCCCAAGACAGTCCCACAGTATAAACAAAGTTTAAAGATGGAAAAATTTGCATTTTTTTCAACTTTGACAAAGAAACCATTCCAGTTTAAAACTCTTTGTATTTCTGTTTGAGGAATTCTGTCTGGAGAACGAACTGAACGCTCGCTCGTCAAGCGGTTGCTTTTCCTCGTATGTCCGGTAGAGGGCGCATTCTCGTCACGTTTCACCGCTTCAGCGCGTGTTTTCATGCTCCAGATGCGACGGCTGGATCTGCCTTGCGCTCTGTGTTCTGCTGAGGCCCCGGGGCCCTGAGCTTGTTTTCTTCTCTGCCTCGCACCCATTCATTACCATAACAGTTAAATGCAACTACAAATGTCATCAGCGTTATAATGATGCCATCTGTCTCCAACAGCAGAGGCTCACCAATTAATTTATCACTTGATGCTAATTCATCTCATTTTAAAATTAAGCAACATAAAAGCAAAAGGAACCAACCTAATAAAGATAATATATGCAAAGAACGGCACGCTAATTTTTAACAACACATTTCATTCAAAAATGTAACGTGTAAACAAACAACAAAGACGCTAATTAAACCTATAAGGTCTTTGAGTTTCAAAGAGCAGTTGAAGTCTCGCATATCAAAGCAAGAGGGGAAGGTTTGTGCCTTAAAATCACTAGGGACTGAGCTGACATGATCAACTGTTGAGCCGGTGCTGAAGATCAACTCGGAGACATTTGCGGCGAGCCACTCGGGAATCGAGAGCCCTCCACTTTGAAGCCATGATCAACCGACCTAATCCAGCCATGAGAACCGCGAGCATCTTCACACAGAAGCTCAGACACACTGGAGCTTTCGGTGTTTACAAATGCAAATTCACATAAACGTCAATAATATCCATTCAGAAAAAATAAGAATACACGAAGGGTGGAGGGGAGGGGGGAAATACCAACGCGAAAAACTCCTCGAGTTTGTCCTTGAGTGGTTAGTGTTTTAGATTGAGATGCGAGACGCACCCCAGACACAGCGGCGTCCCGCGGGAAGCGCGAGACAAATGCACTTTCTCAAAATCAAACAACTTAACGCTGCCTCGCGCTCCCGAAGGAACAGTCAGTGAAATAACTGCGGTTAGTTCACGCCATGCAACGTGGGTTATTAGTCACATTATCTTTATCTTGCAAGTTTGTTATTCTAAATAGGGTATGTTTTGGGGGGAGGGGGTCGTCAAACCTCTTGAACCCTGTTGAAAGGTTATCACTATTCCCACGACACGGCGCTCCAGTGGGAAATAAGAGTAATTTTTGCTGAGATTTCTCCTGTTGGATATTATATTAAAAAAAAAAAAAAAGTTATCGCAAGTAATCAAACTTGAAACGATTTGATCGCTCGTGCAGGGGAAAGAAAAAAGACAACAATGAATTCAGAAGGAGATGGTGATGAAATTGTGATGTAACTGTTACTAATGTGTGCTATACATGAACTTGGCATGGTGCGTTTGCTCTCTCACCCACTCCTTACTTATTTTCCGACTAACATGCCAGAGACGGCTTTAAAAAGCCAAAACAAAGTAAATGCCCAGCAAGCAATAGCCGTCATTTCACCGTCTCGGTTAAGTATAGACCCGATATAGTCCGGCTATGTGTAACCCACCTCTAGCCCAAATAACCTTGAATTTGGTTTCATGTCGTTTTTTGGCAAAATAACTTGTGAGATGTATGATATTCCATCATGTAAGCAAACTCAACCACGTTTACCAGGTGTTTGGTTTAATTTATTTGACATGTTCAATACGTAGCCTGTGCATAGCCATGATTTAGCTCGTAGTCAGAGCGGCTATCTGTAGCCCACTTAGTCAAACCTGGCTCACTGTAGTTTTTGGCCAGGCAGCGCATGAGATGGTTGATATCCCATCATGTTCGCAATGTCAATAATATCTACAAATATAAATGTGTCACTTCATGACATGGTCTATATGTAGCCACGATTTAGCTCTAAATTGGTCTAGCCCAAATAACCTTGAATTTGGTTTCATGTCGTTTTTTGGCAAAATAACTTGTGAGATGTATGATATTCCATCATGTAAGCAAACTCAACCACGTTTACCAGGTGTTTGGTTTAATTTATTTGACATGTTCAATACGTAGCCTGTGCATAGCCATGATTTAGCTCGTAGTCAGAGCGGCTATCTGTAGCCCACTTAGTCAAACCTGGCTCACTGTAGTTTTTGGCCAGGCAGCGCATGAGATGGTTGATATCCCATCATGTTCGCAATGTCAATAATATCTACAAATATAAATGTGTCACTTCATGACATGGTCTATATGTAGCCACGATTTAGCTCTAAATTGGACGGGCGTAGTCTGCTTTTAGCCCACCTGGAGAAATCGAGGCAATATGTGGTCTAATTTGAACGGCTTGGCTATAGCCCTATACCAGTAACCAGACCAGCGATGAGCATTGCCAAAATAGCCTTAAAATTGTTTACATGTCATTTTCGCCCACGCAGCTTCTTATCAAATGCAAGTAAACTTTTGAATCATATACATTTGCATTATTTTATATTTTAATTATTTTACAGCATTATTAAATATAGCATTATTTATTATGCCAAAAATAATGCTAATTTAAATGTTTCAAAAGTTTCCTTGCATTTGATAATATGATGTCATGCATCCCACAAGTTAAATTCATACACATTACCGTATATGATATTATTGATAATCGGCTGTCTTTCATTTTATAAATAAAAATGCAATTACAATCCCCCTAGATGGCAATTGTAGCCCTACTGAGACATGACTACTGGCAACG